CACACACACACACACACACACACACACACACGAATAACTAAATAAATGCACAAGGAAACTAGAAGCAAAGAAAGGAAGGAAGAGCAGAAGAGAAAAGAGAAGAAAGGGAAGACGATGGAGTCTCCAGGTATACTGGTTTGTTTTTATTAGCTTGATACAAACTAGGGTCACCTGGGAAAAAAAGAACTTTATAAAATTGCCTCCATCAGACTTATCTGTGGAATATTTTAATTGTCGTTTGATGCACGAGGGTCCCTTGTTGTCCTGGACAGGTGGGCCTGGACTGTATGAGAAAAGTAATGGAGTCAGCCAGGGAAAGCAAGCCAGTAAGCAGTACCCCTCCACAGCCTCTGCTTCTGTTCCTACTTTCAGGTTCCGACCTTGAGCTCTTTCTGTGGCTTCCCTCAATGACAGATGGGAATCTGTGAGTCAGTTTGCTCTTGGTGTGAGTGTTTCATCACAGCAGCAGGAGGCTGTTGACCAGTTCTATCTTAGACGCAGGTTGGAGGAGGAGAGCTAGGCTTTGGGAAGCTGCAATGGGATGTCCAGGGAAAAGAAGCAATGGGAGTAATGGGGACAGCAGAGTCTACTTTATACCTTTAATGAACAGTAAGAAGGGTCAAAAGACACAGAGCTTGAGAGGAGATGGATAGCATCCTATCAATGGCCACTGTAGGATAGTGGATTGTCCTCTTTCCAAACTAGAAGGGAACAGAGAGTCTGCACGATTTGACATGGGTTCTCCATGGTTCTCTGGGATCTGTACATTCAGAATAGACTGAGGAGATGCCAGGACATTCTCACCAAGCTACCAATAAAAGCCAAGTCCAAGCTGATGCTGTGCAAGGGGATGAGAATGGCCAGAGTGGAGGTGGGGGAGCGTTGCAGGCAGGATAGACTTCACAGGTGAAATAAATGACTCACCCACAAGAGCTGTCTGACAGATATGTGGGAAAAGGTGGATCACGCATGAGGAATTTTGTGTGAGTCAATGATGATGTGCTCTTTGTTGATACAGGAGAAGCCAGCTTTCACAGGGGCAGGAGACAAGATTGGGGAACACAGGGTATGAGGTTCTACAGATAGGAAGACTTTACTCTTCCTGTTTGTTCTTCTGACTATTGAAGCAGAGTGCCAGCTACAGCAGGAAGAAGAATGGCAGAGAGCAATGGAGATTGAGTGGCCCTGGGATAGGTGAACCAAGGGATCCAGGGAAGTATGAGCACCGCCTATGATGACAGTTGACCAAGCCAGCCCAGGCTATATAGGATCTGTGGCTGGCTGCTGACAGTGCCACACACAGTTACATTAGGAAAAGAAAAAAAGTGAAAATGTTTCAATGTGTGTGTTTTTAAGGTGACAAAACATCCCCAGCTCCTACAGGGGATTTATAATAAGTTAGGGGTACATGTAGCCAGCTCAGGAGGGTGACAGCATTTGTACTTTAACCTGCACTGTTGCCAAGTCAAATGAATAAGCTTTGCATAATATCCCATTACAAAACGTGCCCGTGCCACAGTCCGAGTGGAAGGGACTGCCTGCTCCTCCAGTAAAGCATGATTAATAAAAACTCAGAGAGAGAAATTGGGGTTCAACTTGAAGATCTCAAAAGCAAAACAGTCAGCCACTGGCTCTTCCCTAACCTCAGTCTGAAATGGCGATCCTGCCTCCCAGAATCTCAGAATGAGACTGTGTCTGAGAGCTGTCTTCCCCCATTTTATATTCCTCTCTAGGGCTGGGATTAAAGGCGTGCACCACCTGTTTTCTATGGCAACTAGTGTGGCTACTGGGATTAAAGGTGTGTGTCATTTTGGCTAAAGGGATTAAAGGTGTGTGTTACCATAACCTGGTCTATAAAGCTGACCAGTGAGACTGTTTTACTCTCAGATCTTCAGGCAGGCAGTAATTATTAAAATACAACAGAAATGCCACCACACCGCCCAGCAAGATCAGAGTGATTTGTTTTAGTTTGCTTCCTAGAAGCTCAGGAAACCAGATGATAAATAGTTTCAAAATACATGGTTTCAAAACTGTAACCCCCAAATTGAGGCAGTTAGTGCAAAATTACATTAGATTTTTATTAGGTTGAATTTTGAAAGCAAAATAATTTGAAGACTTTGTCAGAGGATTTTCTAGAAATTTTGGCAGGTGCTGGACTGTGTCTGATGGAGTTGGCTACTTCACCTCTCCTGTTGAGTTTATCCCTCCATGCTCACACGTGCCTTACGCTGCTGCAGTTCATGTATTCACAAACAGCTGTCTGCCATGTGTGTGAGCTCGAACTGAGCCTGAAATGGCTTGGTGCTTCCTAAAGAGCCTGGTTAAGGGTAATACCTGACTTTAATAAACTCAAGTGCTGGTGATAAGAGGTTTTGTCCACCACAGTCTCTCTCTGTCTCTCTGTCTGTGTGTGTGTGTGTGTGTGTGTGTGTGTGTGTGTGTGTCTAGTTGACCTTAGGAAATAGAAAATAGAAAAGTGCCTTTTTTCTTTTTTGCTTCAACTTAGGCTTTAATTCCAGCCACAATTGAGTGAGTTTGGTTAAATCATTTAATCAGTCTAGTCTGTGCTTTTATTTTAATCTGTAAAATTTGAATGATGCTGATGATAGTGCCAAATAATACAGCAATACTTGGATTTTGCTTGGACTCATGATGCGATCCTGATAACAAGAATCGTTAGCAGATGAGACTCAAGGACGATCTCTCAGCCAGCCAAAGACCTGGGATCTATGCCTTGTGGAGTTGTATCTCCTAAGTGTGCCAGCCTAAGAACTGACTAAGCCTCTGGGCAAAGATGTTGTGGGCAGTTCCAGTGCCATAAGGAGCAATAGGGGACTGGCTCAAGCTGCCTTCGTGCTAGCAGCACCTACACGCTTGACCCCCGGCTTAGCTTGATTTGGGGGTGAGTCTGTAGAGCCAGCCTGCTTGGGCTCTAATTCTCTTAGCACTGTGTTATTTAAACCCCTGACTTCCTCTCCGTGCCTCAGTGTCACCATCTGTATTGTAGTGAGAATGACAGTGTGGTATTGGCTGAGCTGGGGAATGAGGAGCTGATAGAGGCGAGGAGAGCCACAGAGAACTGCGTAAAGCATAAAGGAGACTCTATGAAAAGACGGGAATTCTTCCCTGGTGTTGCTGTTGGTCTGGGGATGTTCCTCTAATCTTTCCTTTGTGTGACGATTTCAAAAGAAGCCTCATAATAGAAAGGCAATGATATAGTAAAAATCAAAATCAACTATTAATATTTGCTTCTTGTGACGCCTTAAAAGGTGATGACCTTCTTGAAGCTTGGCTATTTTCATCCTAGCTGAGAATCATAAACTGAAATCTGAGGTCCTAGACTATGCTTTGGGCTGAGCTGGAGGCACTCTTTCCATTATAGAAAATCTTCCTTCCTTCCTTCCTTCCTTCCTTCCTTCCTTCCTCCTTCCTTCCTTCCTTTTCTTTTTCTTTTTGTTTTTTTAAGACAGGATTTCTCTGTGTTAACAGCCCTGGCTGTTGGAACTCACTATGTAGATCAGGCTGGCCTCGAACTCACAGAGATCCACTTGCCTCTGCCTCCCAAGTGCTGGGTTTAAAGGCTTGGCTCTTATCGAACATTTCTGAGCAATGTAGGATGATGTCTTCTTGCATCTCAGGGCTCACCTCCCTGACCCGTGCCCCCCCTTACCTACCCTCCGTGGTAGTTTGTGAAATTGCCCACACCTCAAAGGCTGACTGTGCCCCTTGACTGGTGTCAGCCAGAGGCCCTGCTAGGGAGTAGTTGAAGGACAGTCTGATGTGTGTGTGTGTCATTTGGAACCGAATGTTGAGACACAGAAGAAATAAACAGCATTGTTTACCTCAGCCAGAGCGACCCTGCTAAACCAGGGGGAAGTGATTTAAGAAGTTCTCCCGAAACGGCTTTTAACATTGTCCTTATGATTAAATATTTATGTGGTAAGTTTAAAAATTCTTAGTAAGTGATACAGCAGCGTTTTTGAACAAGTCATGGATTTTGGCTACAACTCAAATTTCATGGTGGGTGGGGTAGAAAATTCCAAGACATCTGTGTGTTTAAAATAAAAGAGGGAGCGTATCCACACGGGTAGTCCACGGAAACCTGACGGCAGAGCTCCAGGGGCTCAGAAGCAGGCTCAGTGCCCTGAGTTCATTCTTTCCAGCCCTTCATTTGGGGTAAGAATCGAGGACTATCTGAAATTTGTAAAAGAAAATTTATCTGCAATTGAAGGAAATGTCCTCTCTTGAAATGAATGAGGATTTTCGCATTTATTCCTGCCTGTGCCCCTTCGCTGGTGGCTGAAGGGAAAGACTACAGCAATCAATTCTTCTGTCAGAAAGCCAACATTTCTTGTTTCCAGACCTCCAGCGATCCCCTGTGGCTCCTGAGAACAAGCAGAGGCAGTGGCAATTCTTTGAAAGTTTGGGCAGCACTCTTGGGTGGCTTTTTGGCTGAAGTTTTAGTTCAAATTTTCCTTCCTTAGTACTTTTGTGGCGGTTATCTCTGTGTACCAGAGTGTAAAGCAACAGGCTGTGGTTTGGCATACTGTGTTTTCTAGCATCTGCTCAATTTTATGGTTCTGATTTTTTTCAAATCTAAAAAATTGTTTTCTCTCCTCTTAATTTAGCTTCTTTATGGGAATGCTCAAGAGACTGGTAAGAAACGACTGTGAAATAATCTAATCATTGTGAGAGCTGCTCGCTAGTTCCAGGTTCAGTTGGAACAGATGTGACACTGGACACCTGAGACCCAACTCTTCTGCATAAGTGAATTTAATAAATACGTGTTCAATGACTGATTCTTCTTTCCAGGGGAATCTTTAGTAAGTAAAAAGCAGGTCAAGATAAAAATTTTCTTGTAGTTTTATATGATTTATTTTTCAGTGGCTACAGTGACTTCTCTTCTGGACCCTAAGTCAGACATCACTCATCAAACACCAAGTGAGCCCATCATAGCCATTCTGTGTCTCTGATCTATCAGTCACCAGCACGAGATTGACAAGCAGAGAATGGGGCTTTGGGTTTTGGCGGTTCTGACAGTTTCCATGTATTCCTCAGTAACCAAGAGCAGTGAGTATTGGTGCTCAGCTAAGTTGTATGTTTTTTTATTTTAACTTAAGTAATTCTGGGAACATTTGTTGCATCTCAGTTGCTTGCTTCCAGTTGCTCTGGGCTGAACTGTGTGCAGCAAAATTATTTCCTCTTCACACGTTCTTTATCATAAATCTCTCAGTAGGAATTCTCTATTGTGAGTGTATCATAATTTTGGAGTTACATATATCAAGACTGAACACAGTACCTGCATGTGGGAGGCATTATGGGGATTTATTCACTGACAATGTGTTTGCATGAATATAGGTGTTTTCCCCTAGGAGCAAAGGAGAACATAACTTCAAACTGATTCCTTAGTTTATTGCACCACATAGCACATTTAGTAAAGGCTTTTAACTGTTGACTTAACATTTTTCAAAGCATCGCAACCTATGATCTCTTTAAAAATCTAATCAAGAACGGAAACATTGAGTTATATGAAAAGAACTGTGGTTTTTTTCACATGGTCACTTCAGGGTTGTGTTCATACTTTATTTGTAGGTAAAGCAATCTGGGGTCTGGAACATGAGGCTTTAATTGTGAGATGCCCCCAAGGAGGAGGCCCGCTTGATCATGTGGAATGGTATAACTCAATTACAAATGAGAGTATGTCTACTCAGAAAAGCAAGGGGATTTTTGTCTCCAGAGACCGCCTGAAGTTTCTACCAGCCAGAATGGCTCACTCTGGGATGTATGCCTGCGTGGTCACGAGGTACTGTGCAGGAATCCACTGTGAGCTTTGTGCCTGCTCCCTTCTCCGTAGTGATGGGTGCTCCAGCTATCCTTGCTTCCTCTCCGCTCTGCCCCTCAGAGAAAGGGTTAAATTTGTAAAGTGATTTGAACCATAAAGTACTCTTGGGAAGACCAGCAGCCTGACTGGTGATGGGCTACTGAACATACCACAGCAAGGCCATATACATGCATATCCATTCTAAATAGAAAAATGCCCAGCTTTTCTAGTGACCCAAGAACAATGAGTTATCACTCACTGTGGTCTGAGAGTAAGAGAAACTAACAAGTGGAAGCCCAGACATCTGGCATCCCAAAGTTCTGTGCCGGGCCAAGAGGTGTAGATGCCAGAACCTGAGACAAAGAGAGAGAGACTGCAGAGACCCAGTCTCGGTGTCTGTGTCTATAAACCCTCAGTCTGCACTGCAATGGCCTCGTGTTTAGATTTCACAGCGTCTCTGGTACTCACAGAGTCTCACGTAGCCTAGATATAGCTTGATGCCTAGGTTTGGAGAAGACAGTTCCAACCCAAGCTCTTCTACTAGTTAGGTGTGCAGTGCCACCACGTGACTTCTCTGTCTCTCAGTTCCTCGTGTGTAAAATTCATATGGTAGCATCATGTTCCAAAACAATAACAACAACAACACAAAGCCATCGCTGTGAGAATAACATGATGCCAAAATGTGCTTAATTCTGTGTCTGGCTCAACAAACACTAACCAATATTTTAGTTAGGATCCTAGCATGACAGTGGGCGATGAGGACCTGGTGAAGCCATTTTGAAGGCTTTGTTTTTTCTCCAGTGTAGCAAATGAAGTCTTTAAAAGCTCAAGATTTTGATGATTATTTTGTAATAAGAGAAGAACTGTATATATCGCTTTTGCAAGAGCAACACTGCCCAACGGATGGAGTTGGATTAAGCTATCTCGTGGTAGCAGGTAACACTTTTAAATGCTTGCCTTCTTTCCATAGCCCTGACTTGAATATGACTGAATTCATGAATGTAACCATACATAGAAAGACAACAGGCTGTAACGTTCCCGATCATTTGATGTACAAAACAGTAAATGGATCAGCAAAGAACCCCAAGATAACTTGTCCAACAATCTTCTACTATAATTGGTCAGCGCCTGTTCAGTGGTTTAAGGTAAAAGTTTGAAATGTAGGGGAGAAATGGACAAAATTAGCACAAATGATGTAGCAGAAAGTGAAAAACTCAGTGGAAGAGGAATGGGATGTTTTTCTGGTCGTTGCTGCAGAACTGCAAAGCTCTTCAAGGACCGAAGTACAGGGCGCACAGAGCATACTTGTTCATTAAAAACGTGGGGCGAGATGATGAAGGGGATTACACATGTAAATTCACACACACTGAGAACGGGACCAGTTACATCGTGACCGCAACCAGGTCATTCACAGTCGAAGGTAAGCTCCTGCCTTCAGCAAACTTCAGGAGCCAAACAAAAATGAGAAGGGGGAAGTGAATATTTCCTGTTGTATTCTCTATCCTCTGTCCATACTCTATTCTCTTCTGGTTCCCATCCACACACTCTACTGTGACAGGAAGTTGGTGTTGTACAACACAAGGTTGATGAATTCCAGGGAAAGATATATTATTGAATCAAAGCCATAGATAGCTATTCCCCACCCCACCCCCGTTTTTGACTGATTTCCAAAATGCTCATCTACCTAAATCCTGGATGCTCCTGTTTCATATATATATCCTCAGAAGTTCTTTCCTCCTCCCTTAAGCTCTCCCTTTGCCCCTAGATTGCTTGTAGTAACCAGTGTGAAGTTACACAGACAAGCATACTGCCTGGTACGAGTAATGACAAGATGAAAGTTTATACTACATTTAGCTAAGACGCAATTGATGTCCCTGCATAGCTGGTTGAGTTTATGGATGTAGAAACCGCAGATGAAGAGGCCTGAGTGTCACAGGGCACCATGACCTTTATACACACTGCTGAGTGGTTTTCAGTTATGGTTTATGTGCTTTTGGTATCATCGGCATCTTCAAGGCAGGTCATTTGCTTAGAAAAAACCTTTTTCCAAATATATTTTTAATATTGTAGAAGTCACTTGAGGGTAAGATTTTTCTAATCATATCTGATGGCATTTACAGAATTGAGGTCTTCTGGGCACAGTTGCCTCTATAGAGGAGATTGAGGGGAGGGTCTCACCATCCAAGTGGCGGTGAACAAGAAAAGGACTAATCAATACCGAAGAAAATGTTTTGTTTAGAGCCTTTTCAGCCCCCCATTGCTGGAGAATAAGCGCCATCAGACCACAACTGTGTTTGTGTCTCCACTTGTCTAATGTCAACTCCCGTAACGTTTCCTAACAGCAACACCCTGAAATTAATGACCACCTAGGGGTGAAGGATTTATCTGTGCTCCAAGATACCTCTTGCTTCCCTGTGCCTCAGTCTCAGGGGCCACAGGAAGGAGCCTTCCCGAGGATAAGCACAGTGGCGGAGGGTGGTGAGCAGCACACCTCTGTGCTCATGGCTGCATCACGTTCCCGAGCCTATTGACTTCCTCTTCTCGGTACATTTATGCCTATCCTACAGAATTATGGTTTTCAAATAGTTGTAGGTCATACAACTAATGGGTTAGACCAGCACTTGTTTTAATGATATAGAAGAGAATAGAAAAGAAGATGTCACAAAAGGTATCATAGTAGTCAGAAAAAGTGTTGCTTAAGATATTTTATTTGTTTCATTTGTGAGTGTGTGTATGTGAATTGCCAAAGGTGATTTTCAAAACAGTTGACACAATACTGTGAAATAAAATAGAAATATGAAAAGATTAGCTTTTATTGATGACTAATCAATGAAGTAATACTTACATTCTATTTCTGTTTTTTAACTTCAAGAAAAAGGCTTTTCTGTGTTTCCAGTAATTAAATTCCCTGCTCACAACACAACTATGGAAGTGGAAATAGGTAAGAAATTTTAAACAACTCCCTGTTAACCTGGAAAACATTTCTTTCTGACTCTGGGTCTGGTTTCCTATGGAAGGGTCATGCAATTAGTAGAGGGGAACTTGGGGATCATGTGAGGTGGCAGTATGGAAATACCTGTCCCTGTCACAACACTGTATTTGTATAAGGGCCTTAGAGTTCATGGTCCTCATTTAAGCATCTCTTTATGGTCACTTCTACCCAATGGGCAGATGTCCTCATTTTACTTTTGAGGAACTTAGGTTCAGAGATGCTCAAAGGCATGCCCCAAGGTCATAGATGAGCGATAGCAAAAGAATAATAATAGATTTATCAATCTCTATGTCTCTTCTCTTGTTGAGTTTCATTAGAAAAGATTTGGTGTCTGAAACACCATGATGAGTCACGTCTCTCTCCTCTCCCATCTGTAATCTATGACTACCACACTCCTGGCCTTATATATCTCTCTCTGATGAGCAATGTGTTTTGCGGTCTTCCCTATTATGCCCACACTGATATTCCTGCATTTCTGGGGAGTGAGATCATATATAACTCCCTGTTTGTAATCCTACCTGCCACCCTCTTCCTTGCAAAGAACAGCATTTGATTTGGTCTCAACTCAAGTCTTGGCCACCACCATTTCCATCTGTAGTGTGGTAGCCTCTAATCCTTACTTCATAGCATTGCTGTTCCAGAGACTCTCAGGTCCCCATGTCAACTATGTCCCTTATTTTAGGCAAGCTCCTGGTGGGAGCCTGTAGTTCAGGAAGCAGGAAGTTGAATGTACAACTGTGGCCAAAATCAGCTCTGATGTTTTCACTTCCAAAAGAATATCTAGAGTCAAAGGGAGTAGGATGGAGCACCAGAGCGTAATCTTTGTGAATGTTTTACACCCAGAATAACAAACAGTTGGGCTGGGCAAAGCAGTTTTATCTCCAAGGGCAGCTCATGGAGTGACGACGGGGATTCTGTGGGAAGGGAAAGATGTGGAAGGAACCAGGGAAAAAGAAACTCATGTTTCAGCTATCAGCAACTCCTTCATGATTGTAGAAGCTGTGATGCTAGGGCAGGTAGTGTTTCCTGAGGTGAGAGGGTGATGTGTCTGTGAGGAAAATGGAGACACTGGCGGGGGTGGGAGAGAGAGGAAAGAAGGCACAGGAAGGGAAGTGGGCCGGACTGCAGAAGGTTTACTACACTGGGTGAAACTGATGCCACTTGTAGAATTTAATTTTCCTCATGAATTTCTTCACTTCCTGTCTAGGAAAACCAGTGAATATCACCTGCTTAGCTTGCTTTGGCAAAGGCTCTCAGTTCTTGACTGAAGTCCTGTGGCGGATTAATGAAAGGAATGTTGAAATGTTTGGCAAAGAAAGAATTCAAGAGGAGAAAGAACAAAATCAAAGGTATTTCATCTATCTATCTATCTATCTATCTATCTATCTATCTATCTATCACCTATTTCTTGAGACAAGGTCTTACTATGTCATCTTGGTTAGCCTGGAGCCTACTTTGTAGACCAGGCTAGGCTCAAACTCACAGAGACCCTCCTGCTTCTTGAATGATGGGATTAGAGGCGTGTATCACCACACCCAGCTATTTTGATATTGGAGTTGAAACAGCCCCCTCTCCCACCTCCCAGCTGGCACTTGCCAGGAAAACATTATCAGTAACCTGTTGCTTTTTCAGTTCCAGCAGTGCCATGGATTGTTTAACCTCGGTATTAAGGATAACTAATGTGACAGACAAGGATTTGTCCCAAAACTATGACTGTCTGGCCCTGAACCATCGTGGCGTGATAAGGCACACCTTGCAACTGAGAGAAAAACAGCCAAGTAAGGCATGTCCCTCCCACTAAGCTTGACTAAACTGGTGGAATCAACTGTAAAGTGCAGCCATTTTCTCAGAAGACTGTGCGCATGCAGTTTGGTTCGGGGGAATCCTTCATGATCATGGGGACTAGTCTCGTGAAATGGGTTTCTCCTCTTGGAGATGCTCTTTAAATCTGCTCTTCCCAAAATGTTTCTGTCTTCCAGGGGGACTCTGTGCTGCTCTATTCCTCCTCTCTGTCTTCCCCTCCCTCCCTTTTCTCCCCACAGTCCTCTTCCCACTCTTCATCTTCCTTTGCCTGTTCTCGCTCCCTCTTTCCTTCCTTTTTGTCTGCCCGTGACTTCCTCCTCAGTCATCCCTTGCACAGTCAACAAGGGGCTTTGGTGTTTATATTGGGTTCAAAGCAGGACTAGCCCTGTGGTCTCTCTTTGTGTAATTTCCTCACTGAAAACAACTTATAAACTTTCCATTCAGAGCACTTCTCAGGGTCCTTGCTTGGTCTTCGAGTTTACAGCTATAGTCACCCTGATAGGTTGATGACCAGTTTGAGTCCATCTCCAAAGAGTGCAGAGGAAAATATTTGTATCCTTATCACCCTCTTTTATGATACTTACCACTCCCCTAAATGGCAATACAATTAATGTAAGCAAAAAGCTTCTTTTAAATATTGAGAGGGTGGAGGATGGAGAGAGATACTGACTCTAAGCTCATAGCAACATGTGAAGCATTCATTTGGATGAATACATGGATTAAAAGGAGGGTGGGTGTACCAGTTTGACACAGACAAGTGGTGTCTCTGCCTGGTATGGTACTTGGGCTCTTTGTTATTTTCGTTTGTTTTGTTGTTTGTTTTCACTATGGAGACCAATCTGGCCTCTGCTGGCCTTTGCCTCCTGGGTGCTAGAATTAAAGATAAGTGTCCCCACACCCAGCCAGGAGTTTTCTTGTTTTGGTTTTGGTTTTAGCCTCTGACTTGTAAATTTTTATTTAAAAAAAAATGTTGTAATTCGTAGGTGGCCAGACTTGTGATGACCAGGCTCATAGATGACTCTTAGTGTTGTCATATTTAGCAAGACATTAGGCATCTGCCCCGATAATGGTGTTACTCAGGATGACTGTGGAGCACAGCACTGTGTTCTAGGACAGTGATGAGCACAGTGATTTGTACAGGGTGAAAGAAGCCACATCCCTGCTCTCACCCAGCATGACCTTGTGTCCTTAGTACCCTCCTCTGCTAATGGTGTATCTTTTGTCTAAATTTCTGAGTATTTTCTCGTTCTGTTTGTATTGGAATTATATTTGTGTTACCTGGAATGTTATATTTGTTTTGTGTACATGTATGTGATTTTTGTACTCTCTGGCTTATTTTTAATTCACCTGTTATTTTTCAAATCAACATGTTTATACTATTTCAACAACTCAGTGTATTGAATAAAAATTGTCTCCATTGCTGTTGAATTATCATAATGAATTCTTTTGTTTCTGCAATTCTGGTATTTTTTAAGTTTGAATAACAAAAACTTAAAAAAAAAGTCTCCCTCCGCATAGTTCTAAATGCTGTTACATGCAAATTTAGTGTCTGTGATAAGCATAGTACATACATATATACAAAGCTTCCTATGTATTAGGCTAGATCTAATTACCTTCCCTTAGAATTTCTCATTTCTCTTGTCACCCCCATGCCTATACTATCCGTTAATTTCACTCACTAAGCAAGGAAGAAAAAGCAGAGTGAGCCTGAAGGATTAGCAAGTACTGTAATCCTAGACTCAGGACTCAGCACAGATGTCATTTGCCTGTTTATAAACACTGACAAGAAGCATTTGTGTCTAGCCATTGATGAGAAAATTCCTTGTGCTTTACAAAATCATAAGCACTTAGGTAGATGTTGAGTGTCAACTTTCAGGGACATCTTAAATCAAGGTCTTGCCTCTTGTTGCATGTGCTCAACTGTCCATAAAGGTACTTACTAACAGGAGTCCCTGTAAGAACAAGTCAACTTCCCACACGTCCCTAGCATGTATCCGACTGGACTTTTAGACAGTTCTTCCAAATGAGCTTCTTGGGAAGTTCTTATTTAAACCTGAAGAAATAAAGACAGCAACCTCTTGCTTGTTTTGAGCTCTCATTCTTGGATCATCTTTGCAGCACCAGACTTTGATGTTTTGAGTTAATTGTCCTGCATACACACAGATGGTAAACTATCAGGAGTGATAGAGAAATTTGTAACTACTAGTAGAGATTTTCATGTCATATCTTGGAGCCTGTGCCTGGGGATTTACAAATAAGATTTTTAAAAAAATCACTTACCAGGTCAGACTTATGAGTCTCTTGCTATTCATGTGTATGCAGTACCACTTCTAATAAATCTATGAGCATCATAAAGTTAAAGCTGCCAAGAATATCATGAACGGTGGCAGTTCCTGTGTCCGACTTGTACATGTGTCTTACAAGTTCCCAAAGTTGGAAGCAATGTTGTTTTTGTGTTTTGTGAAACAAGAAATGTGGGCCTAAGCTCAGAGACAGCTGAAGGGAGATCTCAATAGTGGGAGGCAGAAGCATTACAGAACCCAGTAAACTGCCTTCTCCCTTACACACACTCAGTGACCTGCAGTCCTCTCTTCTATATCCCCCACCCTCTAGCAGCGACAAGCCCCTGACCAGTTACTACTGACTCACGCTCTTTAGTGTGACCAACACTGATCTTGTCAATCCCTTTCTTACTATTTCATGAGTTCATATCCTTATCTTCCCCTCAATTACTCACCCTACTATAATTCATTAGATGTGTCTTTTTCCCATTTAAAAAAAAAGCCTTCTACTACCATCATATTAATCTTGGAAAAAGAACTCTCATTTTCAACACTCCACTCCTTCATGTCATGACAAATTCCATAGCAAGAGTTTCTGGTTAAGCATAGCCCCGGACACATCTTCCACTATTTCCCCAAACTGAATTGATAAAGCTTTCAGAACACACACTCCCACCTCTGCATATTGCTCAGCATCCTCTCTGGACAAGGGAAGGGAAGCTTTTTATTTTTAGATCTTTCTGACTCCTCTCCATCCTTTAGTGATCTCATTTAACAGGATTCCTTCTTTACTCCTTCTGGAATTGAGCAGGCTCCCTTCAAAATGTCTCCCCCAACTGAAATCCCTTCTTATCTCCTCTTTATGGGTTTACATGTGTCTGCGTGTCTTCTTTACTTTTAAGAACACTGGGCCACCAAGCCTCAAGACTTGCACAGAATATGGGCTAAAACAATTGATTTGTTGATTTTGAAAATATTCATGAAAATTCAACATTGGTTTATTGAGTGAGAATGTCTTGTGGTTTCAATGGATGTCAACATCCATGCATTCTTCCATTCTGTCTTATTTTACTAATACTAATGATAGTTTTTCTCGTCTCCCCATCTTTTGATAGCCGATCATCAAAGCACCTACTACATAGTTGCAGGATGTAGTCTATTGCTCATGTTTATCAGTGTCTTGGTGATAGTCTTAAAAGTGTTCTGGATTGAGGTTGCTCTTTTCTGGAGGGACATAGTGACACCTTACAGAATTCAGAATGGTGAGTATCAAGTTCAAGATTCTCTTCACAAGGAAAGGTTCCACAGTGACTATTGGTTTTTTTGTCTATTGATGTTATGCTGCTAAACCCTATTTTCATTTCCTGTGTAACCTCCTCAGTGAGATCTTTGAGTCTACATAGGTCATTTTCCATGCTTCTCCTGTTACTACTTGTACTCTTGACATTCATCTCAAATCTCCTCCCTGGTGGAATTACTATTCTTAGTGAGTCCCTGATAACAGACTCTGCCCAAGGCCCAGATAGGTTTCAATGTTTTGGGAAATATGTGTTGATAAAGCTTTATGAAGGGACAACAATAAAATCATCCTGGAGTTTCATGTTCAAGCACATGAAGGAGGAACACATAACACATGCAAATTTTCCTTGAATCCTCACCCCATGAGTACATACTTACTTGAACTTTACCCATGCAAAAAGAGTTCTGATTAAATGGGAATATTTGCCTTCATTTGAAAGTGAACACATTAGGTCTTAGCACTTGACACTGTCAATTAGCCGGTGGTGGTTTGATCTGTGGGTAGTTCAGATCCCTTATGAAATTTGACTTTTCTCACTATTGACCTTTAGCATATGAACTTCTTCTGAAGGAGTATTATGGTTTCCACATACCCTTGATTTGGCTTTCTGGGATTTCAGTTACTGAGGGTCAGCTGAAGCTTAAAAAGATTAAATGAGGAACTGCTGAAAGAAGCAAGTGTAGGTTTTAGGTTGAGCATAGTTCTGAGATGAGTGATAAAGTCACAGTGTCCTGCTCTGTCTTGCCTGGGACATGAATGATCTGTTTGTTCAGTGTATCCATGGCATGGCGTGTATGCTACCCACCCACTAGCCAGTGGCTGTATTAGTTAGCAGGTTTGCTGCTGAAGTCCCACAGTGTTTGAGTCTGAGGAATAGTTGTTTTACTTTGAGATAACTGCCATAAAGTTCTAGACTATTGTTGCTGCCAATTTTGTCAGAGTCCATGGCTCCATCCTGATTCCCAGTTATGGCTATTAAACTCTTACTGTGCCAAGTTTATAAATTAGTCTTAGGTCTGCGTGTCTAGGAGACAATGTAGAATAGAGGGCTAAGTACTACCCGTGGCTTTGGGTATCCATTGGCTGTCTTTGCCTAAGTGAGGCAGGCTGTGTGGGGAAAATGAAACAGGCACCAGGCACAGAAGGAGGCTCCATGCATCATGATAAATACCAGAAGCTTATGAACAAAATTGAAGTGTCCTGAACAGACTCTCTGTTCTCTATCATTCAAGTTCAGATGTTAAAAACCAACCAACCAACCAACTAACCAACCAACCAACAAATCAAACTTAGATCCGCATCTGTTATTTCCTGGCCACATTTTATATCTGTGGGTTGTTGGTATCTCTTGATTTTTAAGAGGATTTGGGGGGATGAAGCATATTCACTAACAGCCATACAACTTGTTAAGAGCGGTCTCTCATCAGATGAACGAGAGAGTTTAGAACCCATAACGAATTGGTACTTTTTGGTCTCATTCTTAGATGGCAAGTTGTATGATGCTTATGTCATCTACCCACGGGTCTTCGAGGGGAGCTCAGCAGGAACCACCTCCGTGGAGTACTTTGTTCATCACACTCTGCCCGATGTTCTTGAAAAAGAATGTGGTTACAAGTTATGCATTTATGGGAGAGACCTGTTGCCCGGACAAGGTAAAGGTGCCATCATGGGCTGGGGAATTGAAATTCATTGGAAAAAAAGTCTGGAAAGGAGACCAAGAGAGGGTAATATTAGGTAATGAGGAGGGATGGGGTGGCACACGTGGAATAGGGAAGAGGAAAGGAACGTGGGGCAGCTATAAGGGGGGTGAAGACATCAATGGGTGGGAGAGATGAGGAAAGGAAAGCTGCAGAAACACTTTGTTAAAAAGTATCACTATGGCATCTACTATAATATTTCAATTTAAACATTTTTAAATATAAAAAACTTCATATGGATTATGTAGTGAGAGCTATATGTTTTCATTAGCATTTTAATGTATCAGGTGAAATATACACACCATTTCCTTTGCTGCATTTTACAACTTAACATTCTTAACATTTTGAAGATCATTTAATAGTAATGAATCGACGTAATTCTCAATTTTGTAATGTGTGAGCTGTAATAGGAGATTTAGTTTAGAATATTTACTTAATAATACACACATATACATAAACAAAAATAAATTCATACAGGGAGATTTGGCCTCTTTGCTGAATTAGTGAAGGGCTTTTATTGATTGTTCTTTCGGCAAGACCAGAGATTTACTATTGATTGATGGATAAATATTTTGAGGTAGGGTCTTTCCTGGTTTCCCTGGCTGACCTGGAACTCACCATGTGGCACAGGCTGGCCTCAAACACATGACAATTATGAGTTAGCTTAGCTATGACCAGAGATATTTTAAAATTACGTTTATTTTGTGTGTGCCACACACATGTATGGCAGCCAGAAGTCAACTTACAAAGGGCCAATTCTCCCTTTCAACCATATGGGTCTTGGGGATCAAACTCGGGTCCTGAGACTTGGTGTCAAGCACCCTAAGCTACTGGGATATCCTATTATCCCATGACGAGAGCTTTTAAATTATTCCTCATCATTTACTCTTCTCATCCTGACAATGAGATGCTCACAGTAGCTGGCCAGTGCACCGTGCTTATGTTCTTGCTAGCTGTCTTCCCCTCTCCCCTGATACCCACTCCACATCTCCTTCCACCCAGGATGGAAAATCTCAACCGACACAAGGGTCCATCTGTCACCATTTTACATGATTTTCTTATTCCAACTGACTAGAAGTAACCACCGCACTCTAAGACAATCTTGAGCTGTTAATGGCTTCACTTCTTTTGTGTGTGCATTTACCCTCTGCAGTGAGTGCTAGCTAGGTGGGACATTTTTTTTTTTTTCTTCTAAGCCCACTCAGAACTAACTGAATCACCTTGGCCTGGGCAAGGTACAAAGGCTGACTTTGAAAGGAGATAAGACTTTTCTTAAGATTACATTTTTAGGATTATTTTTTTAAAGCATGAGTGGAATCAATTCTCTAAACAGAGATCATGTGGGGTAAAGTGACCCAGGACTTCTCTTGTAAGTTTGGTCAGTTGAGAGGATCAATGCTTGCCGAGTTTGCACTCTTCGATGTATGAATTAAAATTAAAATGTTGGCCCTCTTAAAAATATGTCACTAGCCAGTCTAAGACGATAGTAGACTTAAAAATTAAATTCCAATGAACCTGAATTCTAAGTCCTCCATGAAATGATGGACTAAGAGACCTTCACTTTTCCAGGCAGCTGGGAGGACTTTTCATTAACATTGATTTAGCTGGCTAAACCCTTGGGTGGATATTTTTGTAGCAAAACTCAATAATGTCATTTCAGATTTCTGAATATGACTCTATCAGCTCAGAATCTCCCAACAGATTACAACAATAAGAACTTTTGAATGCCCAGAACATTCATGATCCAAACACTGAATGTATAAAAGAAATGACAGGAGGACTCTAATCATCTTCTGACTGTAGATGCAGCCACCGTGGTGGAAAGCAGTATCCAGAACAGCAGAAGACACATGTTTGTCCTGGCCCCTCACATGATGCACAGCAAAGAGTTTGCTTACGAACAGGAGGTTGCCCTGCACAGTGCCCTCATCCAGAACAACTCCAAGGTGATTCTTATTGAGATGGAACCTCTGGGCGAGGCCAGCCGACTGCAGGTTGGGGACCTCCAAGATTCTCTCCAGCATCTCGTGAAAATGCAGGGGACCATCAAGTGGAAGGAAGACCATGTGGCCAACAAGCAATCTCTAAGCTCCAAATTCTGGAAGCATGTGAGGTACCAGATGCCAGTGCCAAACAAACTCCCTAAGATGGCATCCGGTGTGGTTCCTTTGAGTGAAACACAAGGCATGTTGACCCAGAACACTCTTGAGTTGTGGTCCTGATCACCCACAGCTGGCTGTTCCCTTGCAGCAGGCAGCGGAGTGGGATGTCAAGGGTAGCAGCCCCAGGCCCCAGCTAGCAAGCTACTTTAGTAGTTCTCCTACTTGTGGGCGGGGCCATGCCTCCTTTCTCTGTGCTTTCCTTTGCCCATTTCATTCCTTTGTGGCACAAGGTCATCCCTGTGCCTTTTCTTCTCTTCCATTTCTGTCTTTATTCTTTCTTTTCATCCTCATCAATAATCTGCTTTCTGAATAGCAAGCTGATGGTTCTAGAATAGAATTCTGAGCGTTCTCATGCCCAGAGGTGGAACCCCAGTGGTAAATCACATTCCCAGCATGCCAGAACTTCTTTCTTTATTTGGCACTTACGCAGTTTTGTCGTGTCAATGTTGCCGAATTTGTTAGACTACCTTATCTAAATTGCCATGACCAACAAGCTCTTTTCAATTCTAGTGTCTTTCATATAGTTTTATTCTCTTTAGAAATATTTTCTCACTGTAAAAGTAATAAAGGTATATTTGAAAAAGGACAGTGTGAAAAAATATTATAAAAGGCAATCATAACCCTGACATCTTAAGATGAATTTTGGCAAGTAAGACAGTACTTTAAGATATCTTTACAATGTGTACATATAATTTGTATAGCCGGGATTGTACAATACTGACTTTGAGTCTTTCCTGTTTAGCGCCAAAGGAAAATCTGTGGCATGTCAATCTTGAACTGCTTTAACATTTACAGATGCTAATTTACATGTTCAGAACGCCCCATTTCAGCTTGCGCTGCAGACTCCTGCTAAAGCGGCCACCATGAGAAACAAGTCCATCACACTGCAGCCATACTAGCACATCTCCTACTTACTGACTGAAAGAAGTTTTGTCACTGTGAGACAACTTATTTTTTTGTGACATTTCTGTGAAATGCATAGGGAATTTTGTCAGAACAAGCACTTTGTAGTCAAAGGTCCTCTGGACAGTCTTCTTCAGGAGAACACAATACTTTGGTGCCATAGACTCCTAGGAGTTGATCCGGAGGCAAGGCAGGAGTCTTACTGGCACCTCGAGTTTTGCTGGTGGATATGAGTCCTGCCTCAGTAGGGTTACTCACTAAGTGGTGGGATTCATGTCGAAATGACAATGGGCACAGAATAGATAGACTCTTGAAATGAAGAGTAATCTTGAATTCGTGGTCAACATATATTTTGGAGTCCTCACTGCAGATAAATTGTATACCCAGAAGTCTGTGTAAAGGATGGAGAGTAACCCACATTTTTAGGGACCCCGTGCTCTTAATCTGTATCCTTAAGTTGGTGTGCCAAGTAAACCTTCAAAGTTCAGTTTAAAGGCTGATGCTTTAGCTGAAGAAGATGTGGAATTCGTACTTACCTGTGCATCCGTCCTGTGGTTGTGCTTGTTAAATCCTCTTGCCCCACTGTAGTGGATTGTTGCGTTCTTAAGAAATGTTATCTCCTCTTATTGGATTGCCAAAAACTGACCTGGGAAAAGCATGCTGTGTGTATAACTGTTCACACAGTAGAATGTGGGATCAGGGAGGAACCCTTGCTTTGGATAACTAGCTCTGTGGTTATGAGTTCCTTAATGTCCTCAAATAAAAGTTTTCTTAGATCTGATGAAATGTAATACCACATTAGATTCTTTGGCTAATAGAAAATAGAAGAATTGGGACTTCAGAAACAATTCAGTAAGTACTAATGTTTGGAATTATGAAATCTCCTTGTGCACCATGTGAAACTGACTGTATTCTGTGATTTACCTTAATGAAGACTTCTTAAAAATAAAATTCTCTCCAGTTAGATGATTTATAATTCCTGCTCCCTCACCCACCAAAAATGACCCAAGAAAACTACTATTGGTTCCTTTTCAAGATTATCCCGACAATTTAAAACAATTTGCATTTATATTTATATTAGAGAAATATTCTTAGTTTCTTAGAAAATTCCACCTAGGATTTGGATAATAATGTATATGGAGCCCATAACATAGATTCTAACGTAGGTTCTCTACCAATTCAACAATAGGCAGAGTTTTCGGTAGCAAACCTGTATCTGATGGTTTTGCTAAACTCAAGATAGTAGTTTCATTTTATTGTTTCGGTGGGTTCAAAGGGTGACCCATCCAAAGGCATCTTCCGTGGAAGACAGTGTTTCCACTTTATCCCGTCCTGCCCTTATACTTCTAAACATTTTCTTCAAAGTGCTTGTGCAGCCGAGGGCAGACAGGCAGCATAGTCTGGTTACTAGTCACGGAAACCAAAACATTTCTCCTTGCTGCTGCTTGTAAACATCCTTTATTAGATGAGGACGGAAATAATGGTCCTCTCTCTGTACGAGTCCTGTGTTGTTGGAGTGCTGAAGTTTGCGAAACACTTATTTTCCATTTATCCAGAGAAGTCATGCTTTTCCTATTTATTATATGGTGAATTATTTTTGATTGGGCAGAAAGAATTGTATCATTGACTCTACATTCTGTTCGTTTGGGTTTGAAGAGTTCTAGCTTATTATAAAAAATATAGAAATACTGTCTGTCTTCCTTTTCTGTTGGACAATTTAAAATTTTACCATTACTTTGCAATTGTGAATTCTGTCCCATCTGGGCTGTTGGCTCTGGGAGCCTGACAGTCTTAAGGACTCTCCTCCATGGTCTGCTTCCCCCTCTCTCCAGGGTTCTTAGCGCCCTCTCTCTGCCAGAAGGGTGCGGTGTGGTGGCGGTGGTGGTTTTCCTTCTTCTTCTTCTTCTTCTTCTTCTTCTTCTTCTTCTTCTTCTTCTTCTTCTTCTTCTTCTTCTTCTTCTTCTTCTTCTTCTTCTTTTTTTTTTTAGTTTTGCGAGACAGGGTTTCTCTCTATAATATAGCTCAGGCTGTCCTGGAACGCCACCTGCCTCTACCTCCCTAGTGCTGGATTAAAAGCATGCGCAGCCTTGCTGCCAGATCTACCACTGGTAGAACATAGAGAGAGCAGCGCAGGTCGGGAAAGCTGGAGGTGGTAGCGGTGCCCTCCCCGGAGGTCTGGAGCGGCTTAGAGTCCGCAGTCACGAGGACGCTCCATCGGCTTTCCCACGGCAAGGTCTATTGCCTCGAGGGCTTTAGCTCCGGTAACTGGGGTGCTCATAGGTGAGCGGGGGCGAGTGGAAAAATCAGCACAGGCTTGGGCAGGAGCTTAGGGCATCCCCAGATCTTGAGCAGCCTGCTTTTGGGAGCAGCCTAGACTTCAGTGCCCCAGCTCACAACTCCGGACCTGGAACCCCTTCCACTCCGGGCAGAGCCCACCTGCAGCCTTAACTTTTCTTTTCTTCTTACTAGTCTGTTCCCCGCCCCCGCGTCTTTGCACCCCCCCCCCCCCCCCGCCCCAAAGCCTTCCTGGTTGTCTGATCTCTTTAATCACATTCTCCTGGTCCGGCCTCACAGCACCCCCTCCTCCCCCTCAACTCTTTCTGGTTTCACAGTTGTGGACTGGGAGGGATCACTCTTACCTGTTGTGCTTCTCAAATGTAAGGGAAGGAGAGACCGCCGTCCCGCCCTACCTGTGAAAGACCTCTCTGAAGGTAAGGATAGGCTCTGATGCCCGCTCCTCACCGTTTGCTGTTACCTGGACCAAGGGGAAGGAGCTTCCCATTCTCAGGGTGCAAGGATCCTGAGAACAAGATCAATGTGCCTGGTGTGTGTGGAGGGTGGGGGTAGGGAGTGAGCATGTGTGTGTGAGCGCGTGTGTGTGCATGCACTGATAATTAGACTACGGGCTTATAGTTCCTTTGCAGAGAGATGTGAAAAGCTGAATGAAAAACAGCAACAGTTGATTTTATTCCGCGCTCAGCCCCTGCCGACAGTGTACAAAGCCTGTCTTCAGCTGTGTTCCAGTTGCTTAATCCTCGTAGGAAACAAATAAATAGGCAGTATCACCAGGCTTAATGAATGAGAGGGACAGAGAGATTCAGGAATTTGTCTCAGGACATCCGTCTAGCAATAGATCTGAGATTTATATTATATTTTCCTAATTCCAAAATCTTTGTGCTTGCTTAATTCAAGGGGCTTCCAAAGGTGAGAAGCCCCCAGCAGGTAGTATCACAGTTAATCAATTAATGATAGGGCGGGGTGCTGATAGTGTGATCTTGCTCTCGTAAGCGCACAAATGCACTCATTGCACACACACACACACACACACACACACACACATACACATACACACACACACACACACGACTGAACACCCACTTTAGGCACACAAAATGAAAAGGCAGGGAGCCTTCTCCCAGGGTCCTCTGCGAAGTGGCTGGTCCAGGAGGGATAGATCGGTCATGAGGTAGGGTAGTCTAACAAGTTCCCTAAGGAAGTCAAACATTGAGTCATATTGCCAGGTCCTGGCAGGGGTGGGGGGTGGGGGGTGGTAGGGAACTCGTGGTCTGTGTATCTGGATCCACACTTGGGAATAGTGCCTGGAGATTATAGCAGCAGATACCTTTATGTCGAGCGCTGTGAGGTGGCAGTGATTTTTCTGGGCCTTACAGATGGAAAATCAGATTTCACACATCCGTTGCTTTAGTGCAGAAGTGCATGGGTGTGTCCAAGATCATTTTTGCCAGTTACACCAGGTTGTTTCACCTCTTTGTAGATGAAGTAAAACACTTATGCATTAGAGATTGTAGAGAAAGGATTGTGTAAAAAACAAGCAAACAAACAAAGATAAAAACATGGACAGCCCAGCTTAGCGTTGGAGTGCTTGCCTAGCCTGTCTTCAGTTCTCAGCGTGGAGAAGAAACCTCATGGAGCATTGCAACCTGCAGCAAGGCATTTTGTGCTAGGGATCCCTCAGTGTTGTGTTTTGCTAATGAATGCGTGACACTGAGGTAATGTGTTTACTCTGAGTCAGTGAAACTCCCTGTCGTGGGCTGGGCTGTTTCCCTCTCTCATCCCCAGGTTCCCCACTGGGAAGCCTTGCAGGACCTTAATTAACATCCTTGTGTTTGGCTGAGCTGTTTTCTTCTATGGTCTGTTCTCTTGTGGTGAGGCCTCCAAAGGGGATGAAACAGAACCAGGAACTCAGGAGATGGCCACTTTGATACTCTGAAAGGATATCCTGAAAGAGCATCCTTGCCTGGGAGGACAAGACACTGGGTACCTTGCTTCTGGTCTTCATTCTGTACCACCTGGCCGCATAACTTTTGGAAGAGAACTTTTTTAATCTAGAGAAAAGTTTATACCATTGGGTAATTGAATTTGGAATTATTCTTTATACTCATGGGCACACACATACATGCTTGTACTTTGTATTTTATATTTTCATATTGTATTAACTTTGAAGTAAATGGATCTACTATGAAATTTACTTTTCCGAGTGAACAGGTAAGTCCTATAGATTGGTGGTTTTCTATCTGTTTGTGCACTGGAATCAGCCCTGAGAAGTTTAGAAGATTCAGGGGTTCAAGTTGTCTCCTGCCAGCTGTGTGGAGCTCAGACTGTCCCTTTCCAGCTGTGTGGAGCTCAGACTGTCCCTTTCCAGCTGTGTGGATCTCAGGCTGTCCCTTTCCAGCTGTGTGGAGCTCAGACTGTCCCTTTCCAGCTGTGTGGAGCCCAGGCTGTCCCCTGCCAGCTGTGTGAAGCTCAGGCTGTCCCCTGCCAGCTGTGTGGAGCCCAGGCTTTCCCCTGCTAGCTGTGTAGAGCCCAGGCTGTGCCCTGATAGCTATGTAGAGCCCAGGCTTCCTTATCCTTTCAAAAGCTCCGTGTTATGTTTACTGAGCATCATGTTTGTCCAAACAGACTTTTGAAGATATCATGCTTTATAAAGGTGTGCAGTGAATTGAATGATCGCTCAAGACTCCCATCTGTCTATATTTTATGGATTTGGTTCATTCATCAATTCCAAAAATAAACCATCACGCAGACATAAAGTGTGACATGCCAGTTAGTATCAGTTGCTGTAAATAGGTAAGCAAATTGAGAACAGACAGAAAGTGGGTGTGTGCACACTTGCACAATTTGCCCCTGGGCAGGCATCCTGCACTGGATTTTCCACAGATGCTCTGGGAGAGCCTGCACATTATAAGTAGATTATCAGCAAACCTCCAAGGGACGGTGAAACTACTTGATTAGGCAGAGAAATAATTCATAGTTATTTTGGAAATGAAAATTTGTTTAGTTTCTATTTCTATAGCAAACAAAATTAATATTTGCAAATTTAAAAATAAGTCAAATGTAAAAACAATAACGAAGCCATAAAAGTGAAGAAAGTATCGGTAACTATTTGTTTTACCACTGAGAAATAAAAGGAATGATCTATACTTAAAAATAATGGGAAATACACACACACACACACACACACACGAGTATTGGTTTGAGTTCATGAATATAAAAATTTCCATATGCTAATGGACCAAAAGAGAAATTAAAAGTAAGCTAAATAAGTTGGATAATAAAATTCCAAACATTGTCGAATGGAGAAAGAATCACTTGCTATAAAAAGGTTCATAATCATGAAATAAAACAGCTTAGTCTTATGTGATAGTGTTTGCTTTGTTTCTAATAGAATGAAAACACAGACTCAAATAAACAGCCTGGTTAGATCTGATGAATCAAGGCGAGGTGTGCCGTCCTGGGTGTGGTAGAAAGTGTCCTGCACCTGTGAGGGAGGCAATGGAAGCTGCGGGGAGGTTTCTGGAATGTAGCTGGGCAGCATGCTTTTCTTGCCTTGGACCTCTTGCCTGTTTGACCATATCATAACACCAATGAAATAAAAAGAAATAAGAAAACAATGGTAATAGACAACATTTAGATGAAACTTACTATTCCCTGGACATTTTGAATAGGAACCCTTGTTAGCCACCATATCAGCCCTGGGAGGTAGAACTGTCATTCCCTTCTGTGGCTAAAGGACTCAGAGTACAGCTAGGCTCTGAGACTTGGCCATGACTGTTAAGCTGGTAACAGAAAGAATGAAGATCGAGAGCCCGCTAGGCTGGGGCCAGCAGCTGTTCTCCATAAAACTGAGCCACACTGTCTGATGAACGCAGAAGTACGGTAAAACATTCAAGTGCTGTATACCCCCTCACACACACAACTATGTGGACAGCATCTATTATTTACATGCTGAGATCTTAACGTGTCTCACATTGAAAACTCTGCTTCTCAGAATGCTGAATGATTATGTAATTTTATTTCTTGTTAGCGCTTAGAATTGAAAAGGAAAATGAAAACCTAGCTCCTCTTGCTAGTCTGCGACAGCCCTTGCAGCGGAAATGGCAGAGGGGAAATCACACTTCACATTCCATCCGAGACAGAACTATCAGACAGTAAGAGAAGGTGTGAGAGGGGGTGGCTGGAGGTTTCGAGTTGCGCCTTGTTCTCGTCTGACTCTGGACGGTGGGTACTTTCCATGAACAAAAATCCTTTTTGCTTTCATTCTATTCAGCATCCTTTCTTATGAATTGATAGATCGTTTGGGTAGCTTTATCCTGAAAGTCTTCTCCTGTGATTGACTAGTTAGGATGGGAGGTGAGTGGCAGTTGGGGTATTGTTCTACGTTGTGAGGCTGTCATGTGCGCACAAGTCTTCATTAGCGTTAGGTACTGTGATTCCCCAATGATTCTGCAGGAAGCCATTTCACCTTCTGTGTTCCGGCAATGAGCCAACAGTCCTTGAGCTAATTATTTCATTTTTCCAAGGTCTGCAACTCCCTGTGGTTTATCAGACTGGGATTCTCGTCCGTTTTGTGTGTGTCTGAAAGAAACCAACCTCTTCATGGCCTGCCGTGTTCTGTGTGGCCAGTGTTCTTTTAAGGCAGCAGGGTGGAGGCGGTGGGCTTTTCAGTAAGCAGGAAATGTGGGCTCGTTTGTGAAATAGTTAGACTTATGCAGACTCCACCAAGAAAGAGCTTTCTCCCATTCTACACTTGTCACTCACAGTTAGCAAGGTCAAGGGTGAACTGTTCCAGGATCAAAGTTCAAAGCAGTGGGTCTGTGACCTGGGGTCACAGTCAATGTAAGGGGGATCAGTGCCATGACTGGGACCCCTGCGACTTATTTCCTCAGTTTCCCTAAAGGAAACGGGGGCAGCCAGTGCTGACTCATGCCCCGGGCACACACACCTCTTCTTCAGTGATAGTGGTTACTGTGCGCCAGGCATTGTGTAAGCTTTGCTAATGGACGAGATAACATAATTCTTAGACTTGTGAAACTTGTGAGAAATTTCAGAAACTGTGAGTCAAAATGAGGATTTTCTCTTTATGAGATGATTAGTTCACATACTTAGAACGGTTTTGGAATCTCTCTCTCTCTCACACACACACATACATGCACACACACACAAGCACACATGAACAAACACACTGCAGGCTGCATGGTGGACTTGCATTCCTCAATATGTTATGGATTTTCAGTCTGTAAAATCATAAATTTCTCTAGACTTTTGCTTTGACCCTAAAGGCAAGCAAGATGTGGTATGTCAAGCTAAAAGTCAAGGGCTCTATTCTACTAAAAATGCTAAACAATTATGTTTTATAGGACCTAAAATCTATTGCCTTGAAACTTAATCATTCTATGTCACTAAACATTTGGCAAACTGGTGACTATTTTAAAAGATATGAAGCATTGCTGGGCTGCCTTTTGTTTATGCATCAGGAGAGTTTTTAAAACGCCCTTTTTAAGGTGGAATTGGTTGCTTGCGGGCTTAAGTTTAAATTTATGCTGTTCTTTGTCTAGAGACACCAGTTGCTGCAGAAACACAACCATGCATCGTGGAGAGCTGTTTTTGCTGCTCTGTGTTTTCGCTGTTAGAAGTGCCTCAAGTAAGTGATTTACGAACACTCACAAAGAGACGTCACTAGGCAACTGGAGGGAAATTATGGAGGCTTTTTTTTCTTTATAGCTGATATGGTTACTGAAGATGCTGAATTTATGTAATAGTCAGTGACTGAAAATTGTACTTTAGAAGGTGGGGAAATATTTGGTGTCCCTGGGATAGAGAGTGGAAGAGAGGCAGGGATGGGCCAAATAAAGGACTAGAGAGCACTTACTATACGGAGGCAGGGGCATAGAAACTTCACTTTCAAAGAAAACTGCTTCATTTGATTTGAAATAGGAAAAGAAAACAATTGTCTTTTTTATTGGCTTTAGGCTAAAGCAAGTATCAGGGCAGGCCAAACACTAACTTTAATTTGTTAGCTGTGGGTTTTCTATTCGCTTTCTTGACCTCTGTTCACTTATATAACTAAAGACCTTTTTTTGTTTTGTTTTGTTTTTCAAGACAGGGTTTCTCTGTGTAGCTTTGGGGGCCTGTCTTGAAACTAGCTCTGAAGACCAGGCTGGCCTCGAACTCACAGAGATCCATCTGCCTCTGCCTCCTCTTGGGATTAAAGACATACAACAGCATCACCTGGCAGGTGCTTCCCTGCCCCCCCCCCCCCCTTAGTGAATCAACACTTGGAAACCTAAAATAACTTCAAATGTCCAATAGATTCTTTTATAATAATCCAAGTCCCCAATATACACTACATGATAACGAGGAAAGAATGATACACACTACAGGCTGCATGTAGGAAACCGAACAGCAATCATAGACTCGATGATGTGCAAAAGGATCAGGACACAGGAGCACAAGGACTGTATGAGCTATACACTTTATTACATACGACTCCGTAAGGCAGGAGCGTTATGAAAATGTTAAGAAACTTACTCTTGTTTTGACTGTCAAGGAGAAACTGTGTTGAGAAATGTAAAATAGAGATTATCTTACTGCCGCCAGCAAGAAGCTGGTGTTCACGGTCATTCTCGCATCTTGAAGTAGATCTGACGTTGGAGCCACTTCCTCCTCCAGCTGTGGTTAGCCTTAAGTTAAAGTCAGAATGTTGCTCTGAGCAAGAAGCCCTAACGACAGACACAGCGTTTTGTATGTAGTCGCAAGGAAATATTTCCGTTTACTTAAGAGATTGCAATTTTCTAAATAAAGATTACGGGCATTTGAGACTAAGAGGGCAGAGGGTGGGAGAAGGGTTCGACAATTTCAATTGAGAATGGAGGTCCGCTCTGTGGAGATGGAAAAAAATAAAGTAGGTAAATCTTCGAAGAGCAAATCTGAGCTGAGAAATGGAGATGGAAGGAGAAAGAGACCCTGTAATGGGAATGGTCTGCCTCTGTCAGTTCTTTGGTTACTTATGGAAGCTTGCTGCAGGGGCTTAGCTACCCAAGAGCTCCAATGTGTCTCCCAAACCTTCCTAGAAGTAAGTAGGCAGACTGCTTGGGCACAAGGGACACGAGGCTGGTTGTGATATAGATGAAGGATGCACATATAGACTTCTTGTCTTTTCCATGAGGCATCTACAGTGGTGACATTTTGGGGCAATGTGGCGACGCTATGACTTCTGTGTCTTTCCTTAACAGAAATTTGTTTGGAGCCTGTCCTGGAGCTAGCTCTTGTAGACCAAGCTGGCCTCGAACTCACAGAGACCTACCTGCCTCTGCCTCCCAAGTTCTGGGATTAAAGGCGTGTGCCACCACTGCCAGGCTAGTGTCGTAACTTTTAAGATGTGGCCATGGTGCATTGTCTTGAGGGAGAACCAGTTATGCTCTTGCAGCTAGCTTTCTGTCCAGGAGAAGCCATCAGTTTCATCTTCATCTTTGTTCCAAAAATGTCTTGTCTCCGGTAGGTCTGTTTTCAGAAAAAATCCAGTACAGGAATGTGATGCTGAGATTTCTTGTAGCCTTCCCACCGATCTTACTTTTATACCTGAGGGGTGAAAAAAATCATTTTTGTCTTGTTTTATCTCCTTTTCCTTGGTTAATCTGCTGTAGGAAATTGCATCCGACGCCAGAAAATTCACACACTAGAAGGAGAGCCCTTTTATCTGAAGCATTGCGGCATAGCTTCATCTGTGCACAAGAACGAAACAGCCGCCATAAGATGGTTCCGAGTCCATGCTTCCCATGGATATGTAGAGCTGAATACTCAAAGCTCACCCAGAATTACTTTGCAAAGTCACTATTTGGAGTTCTGGCCAGTGGAGCTGGAAGACAATGGAACATACTTTTCCCAAGTAGGGTGAGTTAGCCATTTGGTTTCAGCATATTTCCTAGGATTCTTGGCTTTTGGCTCAGCAATTCAAATCTACATCAGGAAGCTCAGATAACCCATGCATTTTGTTTTCCTCCTCTGCTTTTGCTTCAACAGGAAACCAACATTTCATTGCAGGAAAATTGAGCTGGTCACTCTATATTCACCTATATTTATCTTCTTAGTGACCTCAAAGAATGATGAATGAGATTTCCTTTTAGGGGTTCCTTGTTAATGAAAAGGTGGAATTTCGGTGGGTTTTAAAGTTCTGTCTAAGAATAATATGCACTTGAGAAAGGAGCTACAAAGGGCAGCTTCCCACACGGCCTCCTCAGGCTTCAGAGACAAGGTAGGGTTTATGAAATAACCGTAGTCTAGCTTTCAGAGGTTACTGGGAAACAAGAAGCAGGGTTATTGGGGGGAAAGGTACAGTTGTCACCCAGCCACAAGCTAGTAGCCAAGGTCAGTGAGGCTTTTCACACAGAGGTACATGCACACATGGGTAGGAAAATATCTCTTATTTATAAAGAGTTGCCACTGACCTGTGAAAACTCACTTAGGCTCGCTGGGCGGTGCCCACTGTGCTGTGAGAAGTAGCAGATTTCTTTTAGAAATCTCTCTTTATTCTAGGGTGACTCCTGATCGTTATCAGTGAGCCTTCGAGAGAGAAGTGAGATTTCGCAGCAAAGCCTCTTTCTCGCTCCTGTGGTTTCTCACAAAATGAGGTCATAGCTGTTTATTAGACACAGAAACTTGTGAGCCTCAGAAACAAGTCGTACGACTGTTGTGTTTTGAAACAGCTCAGTTCTTACGACACTTTAAGAGAGAAAAACATAATAAATTGGCCGCCACTGGATCTTTCTAGAGCAAGTTAAAGATGAATGGAGAAGAGAAACAACCTGTGTCTCCACTGTCCAAGCTGTATAGATGTAACTTAAAGACATGAATATTCTGGTTACGGTGGACAGAGTCATTTGAGGGAAAGAGGCACCTGTGGCCATCCTGGGGAGTAGATGGAGACAGAGGGTATTTGCTCTTGATTTTTCTGATGTCAAGGGCAGAGGACACAGACTGCATTAGGAAGCAGTAGAAGGGCAATCAGAATGAGGGAGGAGGGAGCAGCAGGGAGACCCAAAGAGGCACCGAAGAGTTCAGAGACAACGCCTGAAGGATGCTGGAAGGTGGGGTTGGACAAACATGACTTGATGACAAGGAAGGAGCTTCGTCAATGGCGTTGACTGTAAGTGAGCTTTCATGGGGAAGCAGGTACCTTGAACATCTTCAGATACAGTACAGGTAGAAGAACCCCTTGTCTGCGTCATATTTCAAGAAGGAAATCAGTGTGGAGGAAATGGCCTGGTGTTTTTTGAGAGCACTGGAGGCTGAAGAGAGGAGAGAGAGAGAGAGAGGGGAGAGAGAGAGAGAGAGAGAGAGAGAGAGAGAGAGAGGAGAGCTTCTTAGTGGTTAAGAAATGCACCGCTCTTGCGGAAGACCTGAGTTCAGTTTCCAGCACCCATATTGGGTGACTCATAACCTCCTGTCACTCTAGCTCTAGGTACCCATGCCCTCTTCTGGGCTGTGCAGACCCCTATGCTTGCCTATGCACAGGCACACACATTTACACACACACAGTATTTTAGAAATGAAAACCTTTTAAAGGGAGTAGGAAATCAGCTAAGAAGGAAAGTCAAACAGAAGAGAGATGTTTCTGTGGTGGAGGTGGATAAACGGGGGAAAGGAGCCTGAGGCTGATGCACAGAAAGCTTATCTTGGAGCCAGAGAGAAGAGAAGAGCAGTCCTTCCTCTTTTAGTCCCTCCTTCCCTCCCCCTCCCTTCTCTCCTTCTCTTCTTCTCTCATCTTGTTTTAGTTTGCTGCTGTTGGTACTCAAGATTATCTACCTGTGAGGCAAGTGCTCTACAACTAAGCAATCAGCCTTTAAGGCATTTTATTTTCTTTTAAACCCACACAGCGCTCAGCCAGAGGAGCCACTATAATAAGAGTGACATTGAGCATTGATCCATGGGCATAGGTTACAAGGAAGTGGGGATCCTAGATGCTGGCTCCCTTAGTCTCAACTTCACATCAGCCCTTGAGCTCGCTCTTTGGCAGCAAAGCAGAGTGTTGCCTGGTTCAGCATTTCTAAGGGGTTCCCACACATGACAGGCACTGTCAAGATCTGCCGAGTGTTAGGAATTGAGAATTAAGTGTGACTTGCCAAGAGGAATCTTAAGAAGAGAATTCTGCCAATGATCCTGAGCTCCCTTGAAGATCAGTTGGTCCCCCTCTCCAGCCCTGGCTGGTTTTCTCTATGTTCAACCAAAGGTAAAGAGCAGAGCTGCATAGAATGTGAAAATGTAGTATTATGTCAACTACTCCTGCCCCAATATGCATTTATATCCTGGTCCCATTCAGTACAACAACAACAACAATAACAACAACAACAACAACAACACACACACACACATGATGTGGAATTCCCCTCTGTAGGCTATGAATATGTTTTTTTTTACCCTTGGTTATTAAAGAAGCTGTTTCTGCCAAGGCTTAGTAGAGTAAAGCCAGGCGGGAAATCCGAACAGAGATATAGAGAGAAAGTAGGTGGAGTCAAGGAGACGCTATGTAGCTGCGCCTAAGGAGACAGTCACTGGGGAACTTTACTGGTAAACCACAAACTTTGTGGTGATGCACAGATTAATAGAAATGGATTAGAGCTAGCTAGAAAGACACTTAAGCTATTGGCAATGCGGTGATATACAGTTTTCTGTGCAATTAGTTTGGGTCTGGGCAGCCAGGAATGAACAAGCAGCCTCCTCCAACACACACACACACACACACACACACACACACACACGCACACACACGCGCGCACACACACACACACACACGCACACGCACACATACACGCACATGTGACCATGGACAAGTTACTTGGTTGTTTGAATCCTTGACTTTCTTATGTGAACTTGAGGAAAATGGTCAGGCTCTCCTGGATCCACACATTGCAAAGTATCTGGGAGTCAGTGAGCAACAGAACACTTCATTCTCTTCTATCCAGCTCCTCATAGATATAAAGGGGACCTGGGAAAGCCCAGGTATAAATACATTTCCCAGGTCACAGGACAACTTAGCAACATGTTTACTACTTTTAGGATGGGAACGGATATGTCCCTAGTATGGTGAAAACAAACACACAATTGCAAATGGTTTTACTTTTATTTCTTCTTTCTTTCTTTCTTTCGTTCTTTCTTTCTTCTTTCTTTTTTTTTTAAAAAACACTGTTGTTTAAAAACATGCCATTTATCATCTTCAAGATGGCTGATTTCTGAGAAAAGAAATCACAGACAAAAGAGATACTGAATGAAGTTCACCCTTGTTCAGTTGTGCAAGGGCTGGGCCAAACTCCGGTTTATTCAACAGTAAGGAGAAAGATCATAGAATAAACTACCTTGAGAAACAGAAGACACAGTACATATGCATACACGTTCAGGAGACAAGGGCGGCCGTTCTCTTGAAACTAAAGCCACCCTTCTCTCCTGGCCTGTGAGTCTCTGAATCCATCCAGCACTGAAGATAAAGTTTAAACCATTTATTGCTCTCCTATCCATGCCATATGGATGACTGTATGTGGTATATTTGGTATGTATGTGTGGTGTGTGTTTGTGGTGTGCACATGTGCAGTGTGTGTTGTGATGGTCTCTGTGTGTTCCTAGACTGCTCTGGAGTGTAATCTTTCACCCCATGATAGTTGTAAACTCTCTGACCTGAGCTAAGGGGTGGCAGAGAAAAGTTTGCATCTCAGTGAATAAATCTCTTCATATAGAAATTAGGGTAAAACTGGAAGATTGGAGGTAGTTGCAGAATCTCGCTAGTAACCACAAAATCCCTCTCTATACCTGTGTTTCATAGAAATGATCATCAAAATTGGACCCTAACTGTCATTAAAAGAAATGAACACAGCTGCTTTTCTGAAAAACTTGTGATAAACAGAAACGTGGAAGTCAAGAAATCTTTGAGTATAAAATGTGAAAATTCTAGCTACGGTGAACTGATCAACCACACTTCATTGTATAAGGTAAGAAGTTGAAAGAACTTCCCCTTAAAACTCGAAAGGAAAGAAAAAAAACAGATGGAGAATAGGAAGACAGTTGAACACTTTGCCATCGTCAAAAACAAGTGGTCTAGGGGCTGGAGAGATGGCTCAGTGGTTAAGAACATTGCCTGCTCTTCCAGAGGTTCTGAGTTCAATTCCCAGTCACCACATGGTGGCTCACAAACATCTGTAATGAGGTCTGGAGACATACACACAAACAGAATATTGTATACATACAAACAAACAAACAAGTGGTCTACCTCCCCACGACTTACTTGGCCTGTGTGAGAGACTGTCCCATAAGGCTATCGTCAAGCACCATTAAGCAGTATGTGTAGCAATGTAGCCGCCCTGTACTGTAGTAGGTATTCAGGACATGATGGTGGCTTCTTCTCTTCTGCCTCTCCTTCTTTTTCCTTCTATTAAAAAAAAAATAAAGTTCTGGGAATGCTAATTTAGAGTTTTTCATTTTCTTTTGCCACACCCATTCAAAATGCTGAAAGACAATTGCGTGTGTTTTCTGAATACATACATTTGTTTTATAAAGCAGGAAGACAGGAAATGAAAAAAAAGTGAAGTGAAAAATCATTCCTATTCCCACAGCTGTGTTTGTTCCTTTACCTAGAGAAACATCTGTCCTGAAAAGTTGCTTGTTCGCTGGTCTTTTCCTTCCTAATTATTCACCCATACCTGTGAGCAGCTCTCTTTCAAACAGGGAATGTGTTTTCTATGGATTTGGTTTAAACCCCCTAATCTCCTTGTTATTAGACATGTGTGAGTGTCCCGTGTCCTACTGTTATTTACAGACTATAATGAATGATATATATTCATATAAATCTTTGCGTGCTTATATGATTAACCCTCAGGGAAAATGCCTAGATGTAGGATTACTGAGCCAGTGGGAGGTTAATTGATCAGCTTTTGATACACATTAGCCAATTCCGCCCCACCCCCCTTTACACCTTCCCAACATGGGAAACAATACTTTCAGAAAGTTAAAAATCTGACAGAAAACAGAAAACACTTCAGAAACGGGGGATTTCTTCCTATTGTTCTCTTAGGAATGGTAAGAGAAATGAGTAAATTGTAGCCTTTCTTCGTGGATCGCCTGTGCATTTTCTGTTTGCTTCATTGGCGAGCCTTTTTCTTACCAGGTTGTAAGAGTTCCTTTCAAAGATGCTGTGGAGAAGCTCGTCATACTTCTGTCTCATATTTATCATGTAGAAAACGGTGTTTGCATTCACATGCATGCACATGTGTGACATGACATATCATGTCTGTGGAAGAGCAGACCTGAGCTGCTGACCCCGTCAAAAAACTAGACAGGGGAACTCGGGGAAGCTGAACCATTAATGAGTTCCCTGAAGTATGTGGGTCGTTCTTGCTGTCGCAGTGTTTCTGTATGAGTTTTCAAGGAGATTTCTTATCTGGAATACTTTCTAAACATATAACTCAGTCTTGGGTTGGCTTGCCTTCTCTTGCTGTCTAGTATACGTACTTTGCAGTACATGTAAATTAGGGAGGTTTGGTTAGTGGGTTTTAGAAAGCCCCAGTATACAGATAACTAAATTTAGAAGATGTATGATCTGGCTCTGTTTATGGCTGAACATCTATAACATGAGCAGTCACATGAAAAATCTAGTGGCTGGTCCATGACCTTCCTGAGGGGAATGGTACTAGACAGCTTAGTCAGAAAAAGTCTAATTGGAACAGAAAATGAAGGCCTTCTGGCATTTTGTCTACCATGGAGAAAGTTTGCTTCAGTTTATACAATTCTCCTTATACTCAGAAACACTTTGCTGGCATGAGGTACACATGGGACTTTGCAAGACATTTGGGTAACTGCTTGGTTCTTGCTCCGGAGGCCACCAGCAGTGGCCAGCATGAGGAGAAGTCTGTGGGCATTCTATTCCCCTTGCCAGGCATGTGGAGGGACTGTGTCACACGACCAGAGTTAGTTGGTCAACTTCCTTTTCTCACAGTCTTACACTTGCCTGAACCTATCAGTGGGTGACGGAGGGCTAGTTTGCAGACAGTGGCTTTATTATTGTTATTATTGATTTCTATGACATTTGTGGGAGAAACAGAAAGATTAAAGTATATCTATGAATTTGGCCATCTATGCCCTTTGGTACAGGATATTAAGAATCCAGAGTGGGCAACATCTACTCAGTTTTCTGGGTCATTCTGTCCACATTCCCAAGGCCCATACCCTTAAATACAGAACTGGACCCAAAGTGTCATGCAGTAGAATTGTTTCAGAGACATTCTTCACCTAAGCAGGATTTTTTGTTGTTCAAGTATTTCGGCTCTGTTTCTGTTTGTCCGTCTCTCTCTTTGATTGTGTGTGAACAAGAGATTAAGATAAAATGACAATAGTGGGGATGCCACTACTCTTCAGTAGTGACAATGATGATAACAGGGAGCTTCACTGCTCCAGGGGAAGGAGGTGAGTTGATGGTTTTTTGTTCTGTTTCCCTTTATCGCTAAAGATCTTAAGCTTTAGAAAAGTGAAGGGCTGCAAATAGAATACTGCCTTTACTGACTTGAAGTGTTTTAACTTGCCTTTAAATACCCAGAACTGTAAGGAAATAGTCTTACAGGGACTATTACGAGGGATCCAGAAGGATGCTGAGTTTGAAGATGGGGGTTATTACACTTGCGTGCATTCTGTCCACCATAATGGGAAACAGTACAACCTCACCAAGACCTACAATATAACCGTTATCGAAGGTAAGAGAAAGTTTTTGGAAGGAGTGAATGCATATGAGGAAAGCAGACTCTTTCTTTCACTGTGAAGTTACTTGGATCTGGAGAGGGTACCTTGAGGTTAGGAATACTGTTGTTTTAACTTTGGAGCAGTGGTTGTACTTTCTAATGCTACCTCAGCCAGAAACTCCACAGTTACCAGCCTGCTTCTCTAGCAGCGGCTGGGCTTCTCATGGGACAGCCAGTGAGATTCTGCTCCTGCAGGCACCAGCTGAGTCGCTGCCACTAAAAGGTAGCTTTAACTAAATCTCTATCATTATAATTATGAATATGACTAGAGAGTCAAGGGCTCGGGTGAAAACCTGCGAGCTCAGAGAGGCTGAGGCGCAAATTATCTTGCCGTCTCTCCTTGTTGGCATCCAGTGAAGACCCTTCCTTCCACTTTGCCAAACCAGAAAAATCTATGTCATCCCAAACTCACCCTACTACTTTCTCTCTCTCTCTCTCTCTCTCTCTCTCTCTCTCTCTCTCTCTCTCTCCCAGATGCCCTCTAAGGCTCTATAATGACTTGCTGTCAACTAATTGCTAATGCATCCTCCTGTCCCAAAGTTAATTTTATTTAATTAACTCAAATACAAATTCGGGACTCACAGTGTGATCGAATATCCCCCAACAGAACATATACCTACTTCAAATCTTAGGTTTAAAACCTTTACCTTGGGCTCCCACCAAACTGACTAAAACCAGATATTCTTAGCCGCAGAGGAAAGTTCATGGTTGAACCTTTTAAGTCAGCCTGTTCTTGTTTAGACTTTGTGTAAACTGTAGAATCCTGTTAGGCTTCCATTTTTGCTTTGAGAAAATATTTATTGGGGTCACAAATATTTATCGGTGGCTGTATTCAAGAATCTGTACTGAGTGTTGAGAGGCAGAGGACACGAGAGAACGCACTACAGCGAAGAATACAGAGTTCTCAGGGAGTTTCGTAAGGGTCTGGAGGGCCACTAGCATGAACACTGCAGCTGTGTGAGAGGTTGTCAGAGAGGCGGAAGGATGTGACGTGTAGTCGAAAAAAAAAAAGACAAATGTTAAAGGCTTTGCCAGATGTGCGTCTTGGAGGGACAGTGTCACGAAGGGGCAGAGCACACACAGAGCACAGCAGCCCGAGTGGCAAAGCCAGGTCTCAGAGTGCCAATTGGAGGGGGAGTCTTTGCATGCATGAATTGCCCTGAGCCCCGAGGCCAAACAGGCCTAGAATTCTATTGTGACAGTGACCTGTGAGGTACTTTAATTGAACCACACCCCACGGAGATATCCTTCAGATGGCACAGTCAATATAACTCAACATCAGTACCTTCTTGGGAACTTACAGGGAAATTCCAAATCACAACGCAGCCAAGTACAGATTTCAATACCCGAGAATCTGTTTTGTCTTCTTTAGTTTTTAGTGACTGCTCTTCATTGGCTTTCAAAACCTTTGCAGAATGTCTGTTCCCTTCCTATGTGAAAGTTCCTCCAGTTGTTTGAAGATCTGTGGTATGACCATGACTTTCTCCACCATCATTCCAGAAAGCCTATGTGAATGACATTTGACTAGATTGCTCCAACACATCTACTCTATGGTATCTTTCTTCAGCACTTCACCCGATGCTTACATTATTGCCCATGTGCTGTGTTTGCAGCACATCCCAAGGCTTAGTATCCTGAAAAATCTAGACTTAGACTTCTGGAGGTCACATGTCTGAATAAATTCACTGGGCTGGAATCAAGGGTTCAGCAGCATTGTATAGTTTTGGACAGTATGGGGGAGAAGATATTTCTCTACCATCTGTCAATATCTGGAGATTGTCTATATTATACTTCATCTTTAGAACAAAAAACACACTGTCTACTAGTCTTTTTCCTTTTATTCCTTCTTCTCATTATTTCTCTTCTTCTCCTCCTCCTCCTTCTGCTCCTCCTTTTCTCCTTCTCTTCCTCCTCCTCTTCTCCTTCTCTTCCTCCTCCTCTTCTCCTTCTTCTCTTCCTCCTCCTCTTCTCCATCTCCTCCTCATCCTCTTTCTCTTCTTTTCCCACCATCCCATCATTTACATGCATGTCTCGGAGTCTGACTTGTCTGACCTTTCTGACTTTCTTATGAGGACATATTAACAGCTAACTGGGATAGTGCAAGACAACTTCCCTTTCTCCACGTCCTTAAGCAATCAGAGCTACAAAATTCTTTGACCATATTCTTCTGCTAGAACAGAGTGCCAGAGACTGAGCAAATTATAAACCATAGAAGTTTATTTGGCTCTCAGTTCTGGAAAATCCCAGACCAAGGGGCCACCTGTGAGTGTATATCTATTATGCACTGTGTGGTTCAGAACATTGGATGTCTTTCTCTTATCACCATGCCCCTTATCTTGAGACAGGATCTTTAGCCAAATAAGGAGAGTCCTAATATGGGTAGCCTAATTGGTCAGGGAGCTTTCGAGATCTGCCTTTCTCTTTCTCCAAGTGTTGGGGTTACAGACACATACAGTCATGCTTTTAGAGATTCAAAGCCAGGTTCCACTTTAGAGCATTAAGTACTCCCACCTGCTGAGCAGCCTCCCCACCCCTAAGAAGACCTCCATGCTGCATCACATTTAACTTGAGTGTAAGTGATTGTGTGTGAGACAGAAAACCTGGGCTGGGCTTACCCTTTTAATCAGGAACCCACTCCCGTAACAACTAACCAAAACTACAACCTAGGAATCCCATCCCTGAATTTTTCAGCTCCAAAAATCCTGCAATCTATTTGTGATCACTTGATTTCTTCAACCACAGTTTGCATGCATATACTTATACATCATATACTACATAAACATATACAATCTGTGTACCTTCTAGTTCCTTGGTATTCTCCCCTATTCTTTTTCTTATCGGTCTTTGCCACTCTTCCTTTTCTTCCTTGAAGGAGTGATAAGACGCTTCAGCATCAACACATGGCACCTTTTGCTCTAGTTGGAACCTCTCATTCATTCTTTCTCATAGTTTCTGTGATGTTGTGACCTTGGACAAATGCTTGTCTAGCGTCTTCCTGCCTCGGGTTCCCTCAGCCCATGGGCCAATGGTGGCTTTTGGGGCTCTCTGGTTATCGGATGCTATAGGCCAGGCACAGTAACAGTGTGTCAGGGGTCCCTGCAGGTGTCATACAGGGAAGTGAACCTCACGAAAAGATAAGGATGAAAATCTGGTGCAGATTGACTTCATCAGCCTGGGTCAGATGTCTTTGGGGAGTTTAATAACAGGCTCCCCTCCCCAATGTATTTAAGCCCATTATGATTTGGGGGAAAGTTTCCTGGTGTAATACAATCGCATTGCACAAGGGAGTGTAATTACATTGAAACTCAACTCGTGTCATTTTTTCCAGGTAGATGGTTTCAAGAGCTGTGCTACCAGTACTAGCTTAAGAGCCAAAGATCTGGTCTGGTCTGGTCTTGGTCATAGTGATAGAGGTCATTTGGGCTATTAGCCTTACTCTGGTCCTGTTTGTGAGAGCCTGGGGAACCTCTGACTGTCAAGGTCATTTAGATTACTAGCCACCTCTGGTCTTGGTTGTAAGAACTTGATCTGGTCTGGTCCAAGAGATAACACAGACCATCAGGCTGTTCATCATTTCTAGGTCTTGACTTTCGGGATGGAAGAACAGGTTTTTCATCTTCCCCATTGGGAAGATAATCCTGTGTACTTAACTTTCCTGGTTTCTCTGGAGATCAGTAGGCATAGGATCTTCATGCTATGTTCCCAATAAATGTGTACATTTCTGAGCAAAACGTTCCTTCCTAAGTAAGGGAGCTATGGAGATGCTTGTATACTTTTTGTTAGAACCAGAAATCACTAGGAAGAGCAATAGTTCTGGATCTACAGGTTTGAAAAGCAGGGTCAGACATGGTTATGACAAAAGACTCTACACCCTCAAGGGTAGGACTGGTATCTGGGAGAGGTGCCTCACACGGCTCCTTTTAGTCTTATTATATTCTGTTAAATACATCAGTGAGAGAATGAGGAAGGCAGACAGAGGGAAGTGATACAGAGCAGGAAGGTTTTTCCTAGTGATTGTGCACCTTCTATGTCCTAAACATTTGGTCCTCTCAGTACCTGGCGGTAGTCTCCCTGGACGAACATGTTTCTCTGACTTCAGCTTCACTGGGCAGAAGCCAATGTTTGACTTCAAAGGATAGATGGAACAGGCTTTCAACAGTGCTGTGAATGTATAAGTCCAGGAAAATGAAGCTTCAGTAATCTGAGCTGGGTTAATAAAATAGTTAATAAAAGTATGGCACAAGTAAAAATATAGCAATGACTGCCATTCTCCACAGATAAAAGTCAAGACTTAGCGGGTGCCTGATACCATGAGAGGAGCAAACCTGATATATGCTGTTTCTGTATACATACATGCCTGTAGTAAAATTTAGTTTATAGAATAGACACAATAAGAGATTAACAACAATAATTAATAATAAAACAAAATATGCTAGGGTAATTTGTCACTACTTGTCACAAATTGTCAATGTCACTACTTTTGTGCTTTGTGGTCATGATGAAATAAAATAACCATTACTGGAACACAAGTACCCTGATGTCATGATGATTGGGCTCGTAGTATATAATGCATGAGTACCATGAACAAGGGGACAATTCAGGTCCTAGTTTGGATGGAGTGGGATGGAAAACTTACAGCAGCATACAGTTTACAAGTTACCTAGATAAGCTCAAGGTAATTCCAATGTCTGTTTTTGTTTTGTTTTGCTTTCAGGGAACAGCAAAATCACTCCAGCTATTTTGGGACGAAAGTTTGACACTGTTGAAGTAGATCTAGGTATGGTTTACAACATGTGTTTTCTGAATTATAAGTGGGGCCATTATTGAGACTGTTACACAATGAGGAAGAACATGTCATTGTTTGACTCTTGTCACTTTTGGACCAGTTGACTGTTTAAAAGCCAGTGAAACTATCTATGGTTTGTAGACTAGGGTCTCTGCCATGCCATTTGGTTTTTTTTTTTAATTTTCTCTATTGACCTTTCAAAATATGAAAATTTGATGATAATACTCTGGAGGTAAGATTCAAAATTGTTCTGTAATTTGAGTATTTGGCCATGGATAGAACTGGCTATATTTTTAGGATTTGTCTAGGCAATTGGTTCTCAACCCTTTTAATGCCATGACCCTTCAATTCAGTTCCTCATGTTGTGGTGAGTCCACCAACCATAAAACTATTTTCAATGCTACTTTTTAACTATAAATTTGCTTTTGTTGTGAATCGTAATGTAAATATTTGATATGTAGGATGGCCCAAAGGAGTTACAACCCACAGGTTGAGAACCACTGGTCTAGAGAGATCTTAAGAATTAATGTGCACAGTTAGGTAACTTCTTCCAAAAATAAAAGCAAAGAAGGAATGGAATAAATTTGCATATGCTAATCCAGATACTGAGCTAAGCGATTTGGGACTTTTGAGATACATTCTCCAACCCAGGTAGAGGGATATTGTCTCCACGGTATGGACTGAATAACTGACACACAGACGAAGGAACTCATAATTATCTCAGTCTGTTCAGAACTCAGCTGGGGTGGCTGGGAGCAGATGTGCTGTATTTGATCCACCTTGCATTTAAATAGCTGGGGCTGGAAAGAATACCACAGTCATGTTGGAAGCTGACCTTTGCTGCTAGAACACAACTTCTCAAAGTGTTGGGACCACGTAGGGGACTGTGTAAGAGAGCGTGGGGGGTCATGACAAATCTGGCAAAAGTGAAAGGTTTTTGAATACACAATGCCAGAAATTTCCAAGTCCAGTGTCTCCAGGCGCTGTCCTGTACCACCTCACTGCCGCCTCAGTTCCAAACACACACGCGCACACTTCACACTGGCTGTACCTTCTTCCCATGTACCACTGTGGGAAAAGACTGATTCGCTTCATCCCAGGTTCAAGACTTGGGTGTGCTAGCTAGGAGGTGCACGCTTTACTGTGCATATGAAGCTTTCTGGTCTATAGAAGAACAATGGTTTAACGACAGAAGACAAAAATCCTTTAGTTTTTATATCAACTTGTATCAAATCACTGAACCCTCAGACTGTATGGTGTCAGCATTTTGTTTTAAAATTGGCTGTTCGGAGTTGCAGACTTCAATTTTATTTTTTTAAAAAAATAACTGTTAGAGGAATTTTAGTTTGGGATCAGGATAGAAATTCCGAAATGACCCTGAATATACTTGTGCCATTTTGTTTTACGTATTTATGTAAAGTGGTCTCAGCTTTGATGATTACAAAATCATAATTTGAACATGTCTAAATACCATTGAAGATGTTCCACATCGTGAATTACCAATCATTCAGCCAGTAGGTGATCCCTCACCTAAAATCCAAGCAACCACCCCACTCATTGGCATGCAGGTTTGCTTTTGTCCTTAATAAGGAATAAAATTATGTGTATAACAAAAAATCGCTAAAACACATTTCCTCATGTCTTATTTTCAGTCAATGTCTAATTTACTATCTATTTAGTAGACCCATATGCTAAAGTCACTGCAAAAAAGTCTTGACTGTAAGGCAACGGTGCATGGAGAAAGTTTACAACATTCTGGTAGAGCACTGCTTGCTCTCCTATGGTCCATGAGCCTGTGGGAGACATCACCAAGTTCTGCAGCTCATGTTCTCCTATCTCTTACTGATACTCCTGTGAGCTGCATAGCTTCCCGCAGAGCCAATGGACTAGACTCTCTGCTTCATGAGACTCCTGCTCATTGCAACCCCAAGATGCTATTTCTAGATGAGACGGCTGCTCATGGATACTTACCTGCACGGCATCTTTCCTAACCATATTTTCCATTTCACTATTTCTCTCTCATTCTTTCCCCTGCGCTACAATGCCTTCCTTATTTTTTTTTCTTGTAATTGCTTCATTTGGTAAACCTATTTTGTTTTCTGAGTAGTTCAGGAGAGACATTGGCTTGACGCTAAAGATTGAAAAAATTGCACTGACCCCCTAAATTTTAATAATTGATTTAAAAGTGGATATTTAAATAGAAGTCAGTTCATTACTTGGTGATGACTAGTCATTGCTATATAATTCTTCCCCTTTATTGTATTTTTTTAAAATGAAGCATCTCTTCCACTTTTTTTTTTTTCTGGATGTGGTACGATTTTACATTCAAATATCACACACTGATTGTATTTACTTCTACCGAGTTTCTAAATTCAAGACTGAGACTGTCAATTTCTACCTAGGAGAAGAGGTGGAACTTAACTGCACCGCTTTACTGAATAAAAATGACCTGTTTTATTGGAGCATCAGGAAAGAAGACAGGTCAAACCCTAATGTGCACGAAGACACGAACATGACCACCTGGTATGCATATGTGACATGTAAGAGATGCTGTGAGCATGCTATAGAAATTCATGTGTGCACACAACAGAAAAGAGGCTGGGCTTCTGGGTGGCTGATGGGATGTTTAAGCTTTAACTGTAATTGTAATTTGTTTATCATTATCATTACCATGGTGACAGATCACGCGTACTTTTACTGTAAGGATCTAAGCCTGAAAATGAAGGCTCATAACAATGTTGGTGAGGGATTTTAACATCACTTTACCAAGATACTACTTAGCCAGGCTCTAAGTCACCAAACTCCTTCTAAAAGAGCAATCAAATGGAACTATAGTTTCTTGAAGTTTGAAAACTATGTCAAGTGCCTTGATCTTATTAATGTGTCACAAAACCACAAATGGCATCCATAATCAAGCTCAGGCCTTATGCAAGAGCAGTCCTTTCTCTTAACCACCGAGCAACATGCAGTTGATGTAGTTCAGATGTGATATGTCATATCCTGAACTCCTACAGGAGTCTTCCTCCCAGTGTATTGAGAATGGAAGATTAAACCAAATGTGTCATTAAGAGGGTGGGTCCTTCAAAACAAAGTTTAACTGCATTAGATCGTTGTCTTGGTCAGTGTTCTATTGCTGTGAAGAGAGACACCATGGTCACGGCAACTATTACATATAAAAAAAGCCCATTTATTTGAGGCTTGCTTACAATTTCAAAGCTTTAGTCCATTATTCTCATAGCAGAGATCATGGGGACATACAGGGAGACATGGTGCTGGAGAAGTAGCTGGAAGTTCTACATCAGGATCTGCAGGCAGCAGGAAGAGAGAGACTCTGGATTTGAAATGAATTCTCTTTGAAACCTAAAAGCTCACCCCCAATAACATGCTTCCTTCCACAAGGTCACACCTCCTTTCAAATAGTGCCACTCCCTGGTGACCCACTAACTTTTCAAATCTATGAGCCCATTATGCGTGCATTAGGGGCTGTTCTTATTCAAATCACCACAGCAGCGAAGTTCCTGTGATTGCCTTCTGAACTGATGGCTTTATAGTGTGGGAGAGAGACCATCCATAAGTACATAGATGCTTCTGCCATGATATGATGTGACTCAGGGACCCTGCCAAAGCCTCGGTTATGCCTTTTGACTGTGAGCTAAACAAACTTCTTTTCTTCATCGAGTCCAGCTGCCCAAGAATTCATTTATAGCAATGAAAGATTCAGAATATAAAACTGAATGGTCTTGGTTAGAGGAGGTGATGGTGTAGGATGAAGTCCAAGTAGTTTGGAGGGAGAAATGGGGGGGGGGAGGGAGAGAGAGAGAGAGAGAGAGAGAGAGAGAGAAAGAGATCGTGATCCTGTAATTTCTGTTGCTCCTTGGAAGAGTGGGGAAGCTAAGTAGCTAATTTTAATTCACAACAGAAGTGGAAGACACAGCTGATTCTTCCTTTAAATATTTTAGACTTAGAAATTCTCCTGAGTAGATCTGCTGGTCATGAACAAAGCCTGTTGATCAACTGTTTGCTTACATTACAGGACTTCTGAGGGCAAACTGCATGCCTTTAAGAAACTGACATTTCGGAATGTTGCTGAAACAAATCTCAACGTTTTATATAATTGCACGGTGACCAATGAGGAAGCCACAGACACCAAAAGCTTCATGTTGGTGAGAAAAGGTAAGAGATGCATTGTTCTTCTTGACTTGACAACCTTTGCTAGCTCTCTGGGATTTCACCCAGTCTCTGTAACAAGCTTTCCTGGGTGAAGAAACCCATCCAGTGCCTCAAGGAGATGATGGGACAGACTTTAATGACTTCCCAGGGGAGGCCTCACCCTCTCTGAGGAGGAGATGGGGGGTAGGGGAAATGGGAGGAGAGGAGAGAGGGGAAACTGGGATTGGTATGTTAAGAAAGGAAGGAAGGAAGGAAAGAAAGAAAGGAAAGAAGGAAGGAAGGAAGGAAGGAAGAAAGAAAGAAAGAAAGAGGGGCTGGAGAGATGGTTCAGTGGTTAAGATTACTGACTACCCTTCCAGAGGTCCTGAGTTCAATTCCCAGCAACCACATGGTGGCTCACAACCATCTGTAATAAGATTTGATGCCATCTTCTGGCCTGCAAGGACACATGCAGGCAGAACACTATATACATAATAAATATAAATCAAAAAAGAAAGAAAGAAAGAAAGAAAGCCATCTAAGGTCACAGAGCTGAGAAGGTGACAAGTCCTCCAGCTTGTAGGTCTAGATCCACATGCTTTCGCTTCATGGGGATTGCCTCCTTTGTCCCCTCTTGTCACGTGAGCACCAGTTATGTGGTCTGTGTGTTTGTGAAGTAGAGGCACTCCAACCTACAGCTTTGCTTATCTGAGGCTATGTTTGTATTTCCTGGGCACTGCTCATCCCCAGACACCTCTCACATCCTTAGAACCAGTCTGTCCCTGCCCCAGAAGCAGCTGCCTCTCATTGCTTCTCTCAATTTACAAATGTCACCTGGAGAGTGGGATCTTCCTATGACTGGTGCATCAGGAATCCATAGATCGTTCAATGTTGTAGGAACCCCCGGGGTATGACTTCTAAGAGTTAGCTTCTGAAATACACCTAATATCATATCTAATGGAACGGCTGCTATTACCGGAATAACTGTCTCTAAAAGTATGTTACAGAAGAGGGCAAAAGTCTTAGTCATGCTCATAGTGTCTGATGTGGAAATCCCCACATCATCAGTATCTCTTCTTGGGAAAGAAACCAGAAAGGAAAATGAAAAGGAACGAGAAAGAAAGAAAAAAGAAGAAAGGGAATAAGGTGATGTATATGTAAATAATCACTGCAGCATTGTGTAAACATAAAATATTAGAATCATTATAAAGGCATATATTGTGAACCAGTAAAACGATGTTGGTCTCATGAGGAAATAAACTGATTGCATTACCATATAATAAAAATTTCAGGTCAAAGAAAATTTATTTATTTTTGTATATGTGTATGAACAATAAACATGTATGCCGTATGTGAGCCTACTGACCACAGAAGCCAGAAAGGGGAGTCAGATCCCACCCTGGAACTAGAGTTATATATGGTTGTTAGCCTCCAGGTCTTCTGCAAGGGTACCAAGTACCCTTAACCACTGAGTCATCTCTCCAGCCCCCCCACCCCCACCCCCTATCACCCCAGAAGGCTTTGATGCTGTGTGGCCATCACCGCCTCCTTGGATGGCTGTTCAGAATTATTTGATTCTTTTTACTCTTTTGTGGTCTTTCATGTTTATCTATGGTGAATACAAACTGAATCAATCCAAGGAATATGACTTGTCTTGAGGGGCATATTGTTTAGAATTTTCCTAAAGCCCGAGTGCTATGTACCAGGCACTGTGAAGCACTCTGTGGAGTGTGGAGTGTCTCATTCATCAGCAACTAGGTTCATTCATTATTTTCACTCTGCCCATGAATTTATTAGGAATGAGAAGCTGCAAGGATCTGATGGAGTCAGACTGGAAACCCAGGCTTCTCTGGCCAGTGTTCCCCAGATGAAGACCATGCACTGTTTGCTCATTCCACCAACTGTGGTCGTGCTGGAGACCTTTGCGTCTCACCCTAGCATATTATTGCTTCAGAAAATTAAATACGACAGATACAGATGGGCTGAGTGACCATGCTTTTATGTCCCATCTCTGGGTATCTCCTACATTTCTTTCTTTCTTTTTTTTTTTTTTTTTGGATTTTTTCAAGACAGGGTTTCTCCATAGCTTTTTGGTTCCTGTCCTGCAACTAGCTCTTCTATACCAGGCTGGCCTCGAACTCACAGAGATCCGCCTGCCTCTGCCTCCCGAGTGCTGGGATTAAAGGCATGTGCCACCACCGCCCAGCCCCTGCCTACATTTATAAGTTGGAGTAGAAATAGAAAGATCCCCACTGCAGGCTACCAGAAGGAGCGTGGGGAACTAGGGGCCTATGGAAGCACTTGGGGAAACAGATAACCTAATCAGAGTGAAGGACGAAACTGGCAACCACAATGTTATGATGGGAAATTCTGGCTATGTTTCTTTTCATTTATGATTCTCTCTCTCTCTCTCTCTCTCTCTCTCTCTCTCTCTCTCTCTCTCCCTGCAGAAATGGCTGATATCCCGGGCCATGTCTTTATGAGAGGAATCATCATGGCAGTGTTCATCTCTGTGGCAGCAGTGTGTGTGGTGATTTTGTGTGTCATTTATAAAGTCGACTTGGTTCTGTTCTATAGACGCTTGGCGGAAAGAGATGAGACATTAACAGGTAACATACTGTGAAACTGGGAAATCCTAGTCTATGTTTTTGTGCCTAAAACCGAAACAGTAATCTTCATCTAATTTTGATGACACCACTGATATTCTGTAAGACAGGTTTCCAGGCTGGGGTCAGGGGTTACTCTGTATGTAGCACTACGATGGGTGCTGTGCAGTCTTGTGCTTGTTTGTGACTTTCCAGATGTTTTTCTTTTGGTGTTTCATGTCTGTACGCTGTCTCCTCCTAGACACCCTGCGCTACTGATGTGTTTGTGTTCACGCACACTCCGCTGCATACTTTATACACTCAATAAAGTTTTTTTTTCATTTTATTTCCTGTCATCCTTGCTCATTATTTTCACTGGGAAAAGGAAGCTGTTTAATCAACCTGGGAGAACTCTGGGTTAGAAGCCAAATAATCTCAAGTTTAGTCTGCTACACCCACCGCACCAGCTGTTAGTGTCTATTGGGGTATGCGTCTCAATGTTTTAAAAAGTGATAAGAGATCTCCAGATTTCAAGATAATTATGTCCTTAAAAAGTTAACCTAAATCATTGCTTTTGTTTATGTGTGTATGTGTTGTGAATGTTTATAGAAAAAAAAAACAACCTTTATAAAGGTTAAACTCAAAATTTGTAAATGAAAAGCAGGAGACCTTTTCCTGTCCTGCCCGTGTCTCTGCATCCCACAAGGTCCCCACGGGCTACTGCATCAAACTGTTGACATGGATTCTTACTTCATGTTGCCTATAGAAGAACAATCTTGGTTTAGTTACCCACACTTTTGGATGTCTGCCAGTTTGATAGATGAGGGTTTGAAGCTGGGTAGTTTTAATTTGTATTTCATTTTATGATGTAATAAAATACAAGCAAGCATTCCATTTGTTTAAAATTTATGTCTCCTTTTTCAGCATATCCACTCTTGGCCCATTCTGTCACCATGCTTTCTTCTTGTTTGCAGTCACCACACTGTTTATATCTAGTATCTATAATGTATAGTATCTATAATGATATAAGATAAATATCCCCATGTTGTTATTGTCTTTGTTTGTTGTGCTATGCCTATGTGGGAGACCCAAATATATCTTTATTTTTTCAGTGTCCAGTCTGGGCATTGTACATATAAAGCTCCCCTTAACCTCACGATACAAAATGATTCTCATATCCGCTCCTCTGGGATTTTTAAAGCTTATTTATTTTATTATCTTAGATTATAGTAGAATGACATCATCATTTTTCACACTTACAATGTTTAGTATTAGCAGTTAACAGGCACAGGAAAGTTGACTCTCAGCTTGGGTGTCTGACCCTGCTTTGGAAAGATATGAGGCAGCCATGTGGACAGTCTGTATGTGGTCTTTTCTGCACGGTCTCTGCTCAGAGAGATGAACATTTGGACTTGAATGGGCCCGAGGTTACCTTTTTCCTTCTGATTTTTCATACTATTTTCCCTGTGTCAAATTTTGAGACCCAACTTGGACATTCTTTTTTGGTTTTTTGAAACTTGCTTAAATACATTGGTTTTGTTTGGTGTGCGGGTCCCCGAGTGTCTGAACACACACCTCATGTGTGCAAGCACCTGCAGAAGTCAGAAGAGGGCATCAGATTTCTTGGAACTGGAATTCCAGATGGTTGTCACCCACCATGGGAGCACTGGGAATCGAACCCAGGTTTTCAGCAAAGCAACAAGAACTCACAGACCCTATGCCATCTTTTCAACCCCAATCATTTTTCCCAATTCATGCTTTTAACTGTTAGCATGGCAGTACACAGAAGTATTCAGGAGCATGCCCTAAGAAACTCCACTCCACATGAAGTACACAAACAGGTACAATCTGTGGCAATGGCAGAAATGAAGATGCATCTAGAAAATAAAACTTTTTAATAGTTATAGCACTGTGGTAGCCAAGTGTATGCTTGGTGTTGGTTTATAAAAAAAACAGAGATGTAAAGAACCAATCAGCCAAAGAGAATTAAAACACACCAGGTAATACAATACATATATTGGTCCAACTGACTCGTTATTATTCTAAATAGCCATTTATATAATGATAGCTTCATTCATTAGGAATCAAAGATACGATTTAATCATTCATGCCTTCCAGGCATAACAGGACTGATCTATATAAACATATGAGCGCACAGACACTGCCATAGCACACATAAGACCTGCACAGGTTCAAACCATGCAACACTGGGAAGGAGAAGTGGACACGAACTGCCATCCCTAACCAAGAAGCTACTTGCAATGGATATCTGCTAGGAAAGGGGAAATTTTCTAAACATCTGTCTTAAGCATCCGCTTTAAGACTCTCACCATGGAGAGGGTTGGGGGCTCATAATCAGGACACTGAGGCATATAAAGACAATAAGATAGCTTTGATGAGCATATGATTCTGTAATCTTTATCAAAGTTTTCTCATACATGCAATTCATGCAATTCTGCACAAACATTTGCTCTATATCAGCAATAGATCTTGACTTAAATCAGCAAAGCAGAATACTTGAGGAGAGTTGAGCAAGCTGCTTTTAATTCATCCCAAGTTGTCTTTGTTTCCTCTGTCTCCTCAATAGACTGCATGCAGCTAAAAGATATCACATGCATTTTGAGTTACCCAGTGGGGAGAAGGAATTGTCTTTGTAAGCTCGGTGACCTGTTTTCTTCTTCATTGTTCTCTCAGCCATCTAAATTCTTCTGTCATAAAGAATTTGATGGGAACACACCTGAGGATCACTGTTAAGCTTTCAATGGATAATAGGTTTCCCTTTGGACATTTGACACCCTACGGGTATGTGTGTGTGTGTGTTACACTATGATTTAATTACATTTCCAGACTCTTCCATATACTTCACAATCCTCTCTTTTAAATCTCTTTTTCTATTGTTAGCATCTTGTTCTAAGCATCCTTATGATTTTTTTCCACTCTCTGGGGGTATGGTCTCAGTTTCACTTGGGTGTCTTGCTTTATTTTCCTTTGTTTTGACTTTACTCTTTAAGGGTCTTTAGAAAGTAAAACTTGAGGTTGTGGTTTGTGATGGAGTTGAATGAAATGAATGAGCCAAAGTGTGACTTACTCCCCAATCCTGGAACGAGGGTCTTCTGGGGGGTCCCTAGCATCTTATTGTCTTCATATGTCTCAATGTCCTGATTACTGTCCCCCACCCCTCCCATGATGGGAGTCTCAAAGCAAATGCTTAAATAGATGTTCAGAACATTGTTTGCTTGGGATGCAGCTGAGATTTGACAACCAATAATTTTATCTTCTTTATATATGGCATTCACACAAGATTTTACTTAAAATTTTTTCTTAATCATGAATTGAAAGAGTCCACCTTGTCCCCTAGATGGCAAAACATACGACGCCTTTGTGTCTTATCTGAAAGAGTGTCGGCCTGAGAATGGAGAAGAACACACTTTCGCTGTGGAGACGCTACCCGGGGTCCTGGAGAAACAATTTGGGTATAAGCTGTGCATATTTGAAAGAGATGTGGTTCCCGGTGGAGGTAAGAAAGGAATCCCGGACAGATAGTTAGTGGAGATCATTTTCTATGAGATGGTTGATTATCTTTTTATTTTAAAAATGTACAAAATGGCCAAAGTCCTTTAGGGCAGCAGAGGCCAGTCGGTCGGCAGCTAGTTATTCATTACTCATGTCAGTCTGCTCCACCGATTTTCACTGCCACAGTAATAGACGTTGAGAAAATAACTCCAGCCTCTCCTCCGGGACCCCTTCATTCTGCATCATAAATCTGACCTCTGAGGAAAGACAAAGGCCTCTCTTTCTGAGACCTTGCATCAATAAACAAAGTGGAAGGCGACTGAGCAGGGTACTCAGTGTCAAACTCTGACCTCCTTGTGCACATACGTGTGTGCCGGTGTGGCACATACGCATGCTAAAAAGTTAACTAATAAAGAGGAGGAGAGAGGGGAATGTGAGGAAGAAGGAGGAGGAAAAGGAGGAGAAGGAGCGACAGGGGAAGGAGGAGGAGAAGGCGGGGGACAAGGAGGAGGAGGAAGAGGAAAGAAGAACACAAATGTCATTTTTTCACAAAATTTTAAAGAGTGTAGCGTCCATCAGTACAGCATCGGTAAGGGCTAAAGTGGATGCTCACGATTCTTGCGATTTAGATGGTTATTTTGCCTGCAACAGACAAAATTGGCTTATTTTAAAGAAAACCTTGTTAGTGCAGCCGAAAGCTAAACGCTGTAAAACAAGAGCGTGGTAACAGCTTTTCCTCCATGCCCACCCTGTAGTTCGCTGAACTGAGCCGTATCTTGCCTTTGCAGCTGTTGTTGATGAGATCCAGTCACTGATAGAGAAGAGCCGGAGGCTAATCATCGTCCTCAGCAAAAGTTACCTGACCAATGAAACCAGGCTTGAACTGGAGAGCGGACTCCACGAAGCACTGGTGGAGAGGAAGATTAAGATCATCTTAATCGAGTTTACTCCGGCTGGCAGCTTCACGTTTCTGCCCCCGTCCCTGAAGCTCCTGAAGCCCTGCAGGGTTCTGAAATGGCAGGCTGACAAATCGCTTCCTTACAACTCGAGGTTCTGGAAGAATCTTCTTTACCTGATGCCCGCAAAGGCCATCAAGCCGTGGAGAGACGAATCTGAAGCTTTGCCCGTTCTTTCAACACCTTGATCTTCAGCAAGGCTCTATGTCAGAAGGAACAGAAAAGCCTGCTGGAGGCTGTGCGTGTGCCTAATCATAGCAGGGGCTGTCGTTCAAAATACTGAAATTCTGTGTTCATCCCCTCCACTCCCAGTTAGAAGATAAGATTTGTCATTGGGTTGTCATAGAGGAAACAGAGCCGGAACTCCCAGGAGACTTTGGGACTCACAAGAAATCAGTCTGTTACTCTTTCTTTCCCCTAGAGCAGTGGTTCTCAACCTGTGGGTCATGAACCCTTTAGCAAACCTCTATGTTCAAATATGTTTACATTATGATTCGTTAACAGTGGCAAAATGAGAGTTATGAAGTAGCATTGAAAATAATGTTATGGTTGGAAGTCACCACAAGATGAGGAACTGCATTAAAGGGTTGCAGCTTTGGGAAGGTTGAGAACCATGGCCCGTTAGTTATCTGTACTCTAACCCCACATTCAGCAAGGGGGTGACGAGACACACAAACTGATTGATGCCCCAGAACAAGTTTTTATTACCTCTCAGGGGTACTTAGTTCTCCACCAGGCTTGGGAGGTGGAAGGAGTAGTTGGAAGACCTTTGTGTGGAGCAGGGAAACAAGGTGAGGGAAGACTCCAGGGACTTGGCTTCTTCAGCATGAGATTAGTGATGCAAGTTGGCATTTCTTGGAAGCTCAGTGAGACATTAGGCAAGATGTCTTACCTCTTCTTTAGATCTTCCATAAGACCTTTGAAAGGGAACCCTAAACACCTTTGTTTCATCCATGTCAGATAAAAATTTAAATTCAGAGAACTCTTTAGGTCTCTCAGGGTTAGTGACCTAAGGCTTTTGTTGACTTTATATAGATATTTATATGCAGGATCATAAAAGCTAACCACGATAAACAAACAATGGTTGCTTGTTTTTATTAGCTGTTTCAAAGGGGAGGGAGTTCAGCAAGGTGGGCTATTGGGAGTGTTTGCACGCTTGCAATGCCTGAGTACAGCAAGGATGTTCCAGAAAAGTCTGAAGCAGAGATTGTTTAGAATAGACATGGTAGATTTTAAAAGAAAGAAACAAACAAACACAAATAGGGGTTCTCAAGTAAGTTTTGTAGCTCAAGCCTTCATGTGCTAATTGGCTGACAAAAAGTAAAAAGTAAATTCAACAAAAGCTTTATGTTTTATGCGTGAAAACATAGAGTCAGAAGTTTTGTTGCTTTGGGAGTTCTGGTAAATAAAATGACTTAGTTTATTTTTTTATTGCTCATTCTCTGACACATGAAGTTTATTTCATATGAAATATATTTTTATATTAAATCTGCTTAATGCGTTCATTAGACTTGAAATGTCTCCTGACTTCCTTTTCATTTAAGACTCCATTCCCTCATTCTCAACATAGATTCCCAGCTGTTCTAAGAAGATAAGGGGAATTCAACATGGCCCTCCTACAGCCATCCCTTTTTCCAACCCAGGGTTTCTCTGTGCAACACCGGCTTGCTTGCTCCTGGAACTTGCTCTGTAGACCAGTCTGGCCTTGAATTCAGAACTCACAGAGATCAGCCTGTCTTTGCCTCATGAATGCTGGATGTTGGGTCCAGGGGGGTCGCACAAAGATGAGAACACCACCAAGTCTAATAAAGTAGAAGCGAACTTTATTCCAGAAACAAGATCTAGGAAAACCAGAAGCAAACTTAAAAATAGAAAATAAAAATCAAATTTAAAAAAAAAAACACCGTGGGGCACAGAAGCTTATCAGCTAGCTGAGACCACAGCCAGAGATGGTGTTTGTTAGGCTGTGGCCAAAAAGGTTGGTTTCTGAACCCACTTTTTATAGTAGGGGCACCAAGTATTAGCTCTGAACAAAGGAATTTTTACGATCTTGCTTTGACCTGTGAGTCAGTCAACATAGGAGGGGAGAAGGTTCTAACCTCAATGGGTAACTAGGCAGCTATCATGAAATATGTTTCAGAATAGATTACAGCAAAATTCACTAATTGCAAGAAAACAGATGTCTTTAACAATAGTCAGAAAAGGAACTGCTAGTAATACTAGAAGTTTGATAAGTTAGAATTAATTGGTTCTTAGTTTGAGAACTTAGAAGATAGCAGAAAATTCTTCACACTATCTCAAGGTAAAACTTAGATACTGACTGCCAGACTTTACAATCTTCATTATCAGAGCTTAGTAATTAAACCATTGTATTTGTCCACTGTCTCCTGCTACCTCCAGGTGTATACTGAAGTCCCATGCGTCCCCTTTGGTGGCGCCAGTTTTCCATGTCCCCTTTGGTGGCGCCAGTTTTCCATAATGGAGACAGTGTCTAACCCAGGGGTCACATATCTCTATCTCTTAAAGGTTAACTCAGTTCACATCTGTCGTTTATCAGGGGTGGCCAGGACACTATTCTCAATTTGTTTTGTTTTTTATTTTTTATTTTATTTATTTTTTTGGTTTTTCGAGACAGGGTTTCTCTGCAGCTTTGGAGCCTGTCCTGGAACTAGCTCTTGTAGACCAGGCTGGTCTCGAATTCACAGAGATCCACCTGCCTCTGCCTTCCGAGTGCTGGGATTACTCTCAATTTGAAGGGAGAAGCTCTGGCCTTGAAATAAAACAGCCAGTTGTAAAATGAAAGGACATAAGCTGATGGAGGCTTCCCAAGCAAAGAGACAAAGCCAGACCCAAGTACACCCTCGGCTGAGGCATGACCATATATAGATAGCATCGCCAAGACACAGGGAGGGAAGAGCACTGATGCTCCGTGGTTAGCTAGGTGGGCTGGCCAAGGTGCTGAGAAAAAAGGTGAGAAGGGGCAGGGCACTGACGTGGTGTCAGAACGGGAACATTAACACAGCTAAGCTGAACTGTGCTTTTAAATGTTCCAGTGCAGAGAGTGGAAAGGAGGACCCTTTGTTGTCTCCTGAAGTGTGGCTCTGCAGAAGAGACCAAAGCTGGAGAAAGTCATATTTTCAAGGAGAAACGGCTCTGAGTGTGAGATCTTTTGTGCAGCAGAGCAGAGTGGGGGAGGGGGACTCTTCAGAGTGACCAAGCCACAGAACTAACAGGAAATGGTATATGTGTGTTCTGTGTGGGAAGGACGAGGGTCTTTCCTGCTGTGTCTGCAGGCCACAGTGATAGCAATCAGAGCCTGGGCTGGGAACTTTCAGACAACAGCTATGTTTCTTTGTAATATATTTCTAGTGTCTCTTGTGACTGATGTGTGTACTCAGAGGACACAATTCTTTGCTTATATAATTGCCACAACTTGGTATGTGTGCTCAGTAATGGATCGTGGCCATGTCAATTGACTTTGATTGAAAAAGACACCTAATGTGAACCACATATATACACACATGTATCTATATACACACACATACACAAACATACACTTATACACACTCACTCATGCAAGCACATTACACAGCAGTTAAACCATTGTTCCATGATGAAAGGACTAAACCTCACTAAATCTTGGGCTGGTTCGTGGACTCTGAATATAATTCTGCCCTGGAAAGAGATATGACTTCATAGAGAGCTGTCTAAGAAAAAGGCTAAAGCCATTTAGGCCTGGAGCATCTTCTTATCTCAGAAAACCACAGTAACCGAAAAAGCAAGTTGTTGGGGGCTGCAGACCCCTGGCCCCTTGATTTTCATTGCCTGCCTCAGACCCTTTGCTTGCTGGAGTGAACTGAGCAAAACAACTTGTTTACCTGTGCCTGCAGCTGCTCTGAGCACGAGACCCTCATGAGTTCCTGATGGCAGGGGAGTGGTTTCTGGTGGGTTTTACAGCTGGAATTCCCAAAAGCTGGGGCGTGACTGTCAGTTAAGGGTCCCTATATAAGCTTCCCTGGAGCACACTAAAGTTGGCATTCTTGTTTCAAGGATGACCCATGTCTTCATCTGTGTGTGTATGCTTTTAAATCTCCAGCCTAGTTCCCAGCTCGTGTGCCATTCCATAACAGCAAGTGATCAAAACTCAGCAGCAATACCAAAGGACAAACTGGAAAATGGCCTACGGTGGACAACTGGAGTGTCAGTACATTATTGTTCATTTGTAAAATGCCGTGTGTAAAAAAAGCACTCATTTCTTATGATATATGCTGTAGTGTGCACAGTGATAAACCCTAGTATAAAAAGATAGAGCAAAAATGAGCCCAAACTGCAGTGGGAGACAGAATATGATGTATCATTTTTCTTTAATTCTGGATTTCTTTATTGCTAGATCATAGAGAATTCAACTACGATTCTAATACCTGTGTAGAGTCACCTCTTCACACTTTAAATCCCAGTCCAGTTGGAACACAGTCTGTTGTGTGGTGTGAGGAAAAGATTCATTGCATAGCTTTCCATACGGCTGCCCCGTAAGCACACTACATTTATTAAAGGTCAGCTAATTTGTGGTGGCCTTTTCTATTTTTACTGACTTTCCATATGCTATTAGATGCTTCTACATCATCTCTTCTGTTCCATGGGGGCAGTCTTCTACCCACGAGATAGCACCACAATGCTTGACTTGTACAAAGTGTTAAACATGTATGAGTTTTCTGTAGTGACTAACCCTTCACCTTTCCCAAATCTCCCGTTGTCGACGATTTCCTGCTTTCATCTTCTAAATGCAGTTTATGAATGCTATGGTAAACTTCGCGGAAAGAGCTGTTGATAAATTTATTTTAGGAGACCATCCCGACAATAACTTTAGACTCAGCTCTAAGGTCGATGTCAGGGTCTCTGAGACTTGATAAGGACACTCCCCAAGCCCCAGGTATCTTGAATGGACTTCAGCATTTATTAAACACCTATGGTGAACAATGCCCTCTTGTTTTCCATTTGGCCTTTATCCTCACCATTCCTCTTTCAAGCCCTTCTAGGTTTTTATTGCCTATAGCTCACATGCCCTCACGTCTTTACTGCTGAACCTGTCACACATTGCAGTCAGCCGTAAGGAGATCTCGCATCCTCTTGGATAGGATAGGTTCACATGTCTTTAACGGCTTAGACCTGTCTTCAGTTGCCAGTTCCTCCTGAAGCCTTCTGCTTCCCCCACACTCACTCTGGCATGAGCTTTGCTGCTGTATTTTAAACTCTTCTCTAGTCTTGTGTGGAAATAACCCCGGTGCCTTGCTGTGCTTGGCTGCTTCAGCTTTATCTTTGTGGGGATAGTGGTCTCTTGAGGGAGGATGATAATGCAGTTAATTAAGATGCTTTATACAGTATTCCTTGTGACTAGCACTCTAAATTGTTCTAATTGTTACAAATTAAATTGTTCTCAATTATGCTTTCCCAGGTTTCCTTTTAATGTGCAAGTACATAAATAGCTTCAGTAACTCTCAATTTTAATATTATTTCACTTTCTTTATTGATGAACTGTTGTTTCCTATAAGAGATATTGGTGAGCCGGACACTTAAAAGTTCATCAGAAGAAAGTCTTTAGATTTGGAATCAAAGGCAACGATGGTGGTTCTAGTTTTAAAGGGGAAAAGAGGGGGAAGAAAACAGTGAACTCCCCTGTTGAGAAATGGTGTTGAGCACTAGTTAAAATTCTACACAGGAAATTCCTGTAAAGGAAGCTGGTTTACTCACCATTTCAACTAAACCTAACCACAAAGCTTTACTTGTCAAGGAGGCTGGCCAGAGAGCGGCTCTAAACAGCTCATTTCAGGGGTTTTTCTTCTGTGGATAGAGTTAGTTTGCTTGTTTTTCCTCTGGTTTGACCATGCATTTTCCAATGCCAATGGTTCTTTACAAAATACCAAGGTTTTCTTTTTCTGTCCAGGTATAACTCACTATTTCCAGACTATGAGTGGGATAATTCTTACATCCTCTCCAAGGAACTCTCTTGCTAAGAAAAAAAACCAGTAGAACTTTTTTTGAAAATGGATGTTTTTCACACTTTTCTTCAGACGTACAAGCCGCCAGTCACTGACATAAAGACTTGAAGTTCCTTATTTGTGTGTGTGTGTTTATAAGATCAGGAAATAAAGGTAAGACAACAGAATATCTTTCTCTAGATTTTTCTGACCCCACATAATGTTTAAGATAATTAAAAAATAAATTGCTAAACAGTTACTTTCTAGGGACTATTTTTAATAACAGGTGAGTGATTAGGTAGCAACATTTGTATCTCAATGTATTTTTGAATCTTCACTTGAATAAAAGGACTAGTTACAAAGTAAACCTTTCTTCACAGTGCTTCTTGCATTTGCTTAGAAGGGGGATTCAAACTCTTACCATATCTGAGTGACGGCTGTACTTGTCTGCCCTT